CATAACCAACCAACACAATAAAAGCAGTGTTATACAAAATGGGAGGCCTGTAGTGTTTATTCTCTTACAGTAACAATTAATCAATTTTTTGGAGGAATTTATTAGAGATTTTTTGGTTTTTATTAACTGTGCAATAGAAAAATAATCATTAGATTAATTGTATAAATAGTCATTAGAATAGTCGACTATTCGATAAAATAATCGTCAGAATAATCGTTTTAAAAATAATCGTTTACCCCCAGCCCTAATATATATATATATATATATATATATATATATATATATATATATATATATATATATATATATACATATATACATATATATATATATATATATATATATATATATATATATATACATATACATATATATATACATATATACATATATATATACATATATATATATATATATATACATATATATATATATATATATATATATATACATATATATATATATACATATATATATATGTATATACATATATATATGTATATGTATATATAAACAAGTGTTTAACCTCAGGAACACATGCACGTACTAACTGTCTCAGAAAACTAATGGGTATATATGCCCATCATATAAATCAGCTGAGGCCTCTCTGTCGATCAGCAGCTCCTAATAACACCACCGTGTGTTTTTCTTCAGCTTCCTGTGCCGAGTTGTGGTCGTGGATGAGCTGCACAGGGTGTCAGTCTTCTCCCTGCCCACTCACACGGAGATCCAGCTGTCATCAGACCAGGCCAGCTTCTTCCTGGTGAGAATCACAGAGATGTTTGCCCATAATGCAAAGGAGCATGTTTGAAGGAAACCAAACAGCAGAAAGCTGTGAGCTCGGGGATGGACGAATAAGTGAAAGCTAGTCAGTGGGGCTAAAGGAGCTATTTTATAATCCACTTTACTTACGCCCTGAATCACACATACTTCTATATAAAGGACAAGTAATGATGTGTGCATTGACCCGTGTGCATTGACCTTGCTAGTCACGTATTTTGAGGTTTATTAACTTGTAAAATTTTGCAGTTAGCATGGCTACGAATCAAAGGGTTTGTCGCATACATGACGTCACCACAGAATCTCCTCTCCCCTAGCGTAGCTGCTTACGACAGAGCCAGATTTATTGTGGCTCTTTCCTCCTAAAGGAAGGATTTGACGTCCGCCGAACTTACAGCCATTTTCTCTGTTTTTCTTTCGTGATGCACATTTGTAGTCCTGGACTTATTTTCACACAAAACCTAAAATAATGTTTGCTCCCACTCAAAATTAAGTGTTTTCTTGGCATTAAATGCATCTTTAAACTTTACGGACATCATATGTGAAATCCATGGTACATAACAAGCGAAATTAGAAAATAATGTATTTAGCCCCGTTTACTTGCACTAATTTTTTGTTCTTTCTGGGCTCCGTGGTCCGGAAATAGATGGGCGTGACTTAGCCTACGGTCACACTGCAGGCCTTGGCGCTCAATTCAGATTTTTTGAGTAAATCCGATTTTTTTGTGTGACTGTTCACATTATGACTGAAATGTCACATCAACCTCTCTCCAGTGTGAAAGCGTCATGGCCCCCTGAGGGACGCGGTCGAATGCTTTCCCCAAATCAGCAAAACAGATGTAGACTGATTGGGCATACTCCCATTCACTCTCCAGGACCCCCCTAAGGGTATAGAGCTGGTCCAGTGTTCCACGGCCAGGATGAAAACTACATTGCTTCTCCTGAATCTGAGGTTCAACAATCCACCCGACCCTCCTCTCAGAAACTCGGAACAGACTTTACCAGGGAGGCTCAGAAGTGTGATCCTCTGAAGTTGGAACACATCCTGCAGCCACGTTTTTAAAATGGAACCACCACCCGGTCTGCCAATCCAGTGAAACCGCACCCAATATCCAGGCAATATTGCAGAACCGCATCAGCCAACACAACCCTGCGACATCCATAGCCTTTAGGAACTCTGGGCAGATCTTGTCCCCCTCCAGAGCCTTGCCTCTAAGGAGCTTAATGACCATCTCAGTGAACTAAGCACCAGAGACTGGAGAGCCCAACCCAAAGTCCCCGGACTCTGCATCCTCACTGGAAGACATGCTGGTGGGACTGATGAGGTCTTCAAGGTATTCTGCCCACTGATCCACATCGTCGCAAGTCTTGGTCAGCAACACAGTCCCCATTATATAACAGCACACTGTGTTGGTAGCACATTACTTTCCCCTCCTGAGGCGGCTAGTGGACAAGAATCTTCTCAAAGCCGTATGGAATTCTTGCTCCATGGTCTCACAGAACTCCTACCATTCCAGCTCTGTGACAACCCGGGCCGCATTCCACTTGGCCTGCCAGTGCACATCAGCTGCCTCTGGAGTGCTACAGACCAAAGGGACTTGATAGGACTCTTTGTTCAGCCTGATGGCATCCCTAACCGTGGGTGTCCACCAGTGGGATCAGGGGTATCCACCACGACAGGCACCAATGACCTTGCGGCCGGAGCTCCAGTTGACCACCTCGACAATGGAAGCACGGAACGTGGCCCAATCAGACTCAATGTACCCTTCCTCCCCAGGAATATTTTAGTTTACAGCTCCGCCCCTTTCTTCACTTGAATGCCCAAGACATGCAGCCACAGATCAGATGAGACAACATTATCAAGCTGCAGCCTACGGTATTCTGGTGCCAAGAGCACATATGTCTGAACTTGGTGTTCATTATGGACAATCCATGACTGGCACAGAAGTCCAGTAACTAAACACCACTCGAATTTAGATCAGGGGGGCAGTTCTTCCCAACCACACCTCTCCAGGTCTCACTGCCATTCCCCACGTGAGCGTTAAAGTCCCCCAGCAGAACGAGGGAGTCACCGGAAGGAGCGCTCTCCAGCTCCCCCTCCAAGGTCTCCAAAAAGGGTGGGTAGTCTGAACTGTAGTTTGGTGCATAAGCACAGACCACAGTCAGAACCCGTCCCCCCACACGTAGGCGGAGGGAGACTACCCTCTCATTCACTGGGGTAAACCCCAATGTACAGGCACCAAGATGGGGGGCAACTAGAATTCCAAACCCTCCTCGGCAACTCTCAGTCGGGGCAACTCCAGAGTGGTAGATTGTCCAACCCCTCAAGGAAACTGGTGCCGGAGACAGCGCCACGCGTCGAAGTGAGTCTGACTATATCTATTGGATCAGGATTAAACCTGTTAATTCTCCCATTTTGGGCTGGAAACTGTAAACGGTTTTACTCCTAATTCCGCCATCTATCCAAAGTATTTTTCATGGAAAATGTTTCGGTATTACGTTCGTTCATGGAGAACCCCCTGCTCCCACGGAGAAACCACCCCACCCCTCCCTTCACGAAGACTGAGACTGGTGAGACGCTTCGCTCCAGCAGCACCTCCCGCTCCTGTTCTCACGCTTTCCTGTATTTTTAATTCCTAAACTTATTAGGACATCTAGACGGACTCCTGACTCCATCTGTCAGCGCTTCTCCTCAGGAACGTCAACAAACGACGCTCACCTCCGCTGACTCAGTGACGTTGGAAGCGGATTTAATGCCACATGACCGTTCAGACTGCGGTCGCCTTCAAAAACATCAGATATGTATCGGAATCAGTGCCACATATGAAAAAATCGTGTCTGTGCTGTTCAGACTGTCATAAAAAAATCAGATATGGGTCGCATTTGGGGAAAACTTTAGATTTTATGCCCTTTTGGCTGCAGTGTGAACGTAGCCTTAGGCTCTCTGAGGGAAACACCTACCTTTCATCATGGAGCTGGCAGGAAAATCTAACTGCACTGAGGTGAACTGCGTTAACCCACGCTGAACTGAGCGGTTTTAGGTTTAGTGATTTGATTTGAAAAAAGGTGAAATAATTGAAGACATGTTATAGTTTCTTCAAAAAGCCACCCTTTGCTCTGATTACTGCTTTACACACTCTTGGCCTTCTCTTGATGAGCTTCAAGAGGTCGTCACCTGACATGGTTTTCCAACAGTCTTGAACAACTGCCTCTTGAAGCTCATCAAGAGAAGGCCAAGTGTGTGTGTGTGTGTGTGTGTGTGTGTGTGTGTGTGTGTGTGTGTGTGTGTGTGTGTGTGTGTGTGTGTGCGCTGCTCGCGGACTACTCTATCCCACCGAATGTGAGAGTGATCTTCCTTTATGCTTGCCTATTGGCAGTCTAAAGAACCGCTGAAGACCCTTTAGTTTAACGCTGCTTTTACATAAATCCTTTATTTACTTGTTTATTTTGACTCAGATTTGTAATAATCTTGAGTTAAGTTGAAAACAAACCAAATTTAGTGGAAACTATGAGTTCAGTTGCAGTTAAACACCAAACTGAAGCTATGATGTGAGACTTTGGTTTTTAAATATTTGGTTCAAAAGGACTTTAATTCCTGTCAGGTATGTTTATTAGTAAGAATTATCATGCATGATTTTTCCTTTTTACTTCAAGCACAAAGTGTTCTTGGTGCCTAAAGAGCAGTTTACCATGGAGTATGTAGAGCTTAAGGTCCACTGCATCAGCACTCATGGACTCTTCTCACCTGACAGGTAACAGGACTTTTACCTGGCTAGGATGTTCAACTGTTACACATCTAATCCTGATCTTTGTTCCATGATGTAGCTCCTCTTGCATCCCATCACGCTTCCAAACCCCATCAGACTCTCTGGTTCTGAAGGAGGGCCAGAGCTCCTCCACCGAGGAGGAGCCCGTCCACCACAGAGATGAGCCCGTCTGGATGGGAGGAGTCAGGCCTCCTTTTGGAGCAGACAACAGTAATCACATGAGACTGGACCCGCTGCAGGTACGGGGGGGGGGGTGGGGGTGGGGGGGGAGGTGCTGTAACAGGCCCGGTTCTGATAGGCGCTGGAATTTATTTGGACAACAGTAACCAATCAGCTCCGTGTAAACTTCCCTCTACCCAGAATGCCGCTGTGTACTCTGCTCGTGTTCAGTCTCTGGGGCGCTACGTCTTCATCCTCCATCATCACCAGCCCCTTCACCCCACCTTTCCTGTGCAGGTCTACATTAAAGCAGGACAGATCTGGCAGGGTAACATCCTGGTCCTAAACACTGTCTGGTGCTCTTGTTTACAACCAAGAATGAAGGAATTGTTGTGTTTCAGGTGTCACCAATGCCTCTTTCTGCCCTCATGCTTATGGTTGCCGTGGCGTGCTGGTCTCTGAGAACCAGGTCATGCTGGACGTGACTGACCATGACATCTTCCTCACGGTGCAGGTTCCTGCTGGCAGGACTCTGTGGCTGGTAAGCTCCACCCACCCAGCGGACTCTTGTTTACAGAATGGGAGGATGGTGAAATACTAACAAAATAATCCCAAACCTTACGTTAGCCTTTGGAGACGAAGCTAACCCTTGGTGTCTCTGAGCAGGACTATGTGCTGGTGGTGCCAGAGGCCAGCTACAGCTCCAGCTGCCTGAAAGAAGAGCCCATGGACAAATCCTACGACTTCATCAGCAGCTGTGGTCAGAACAGCTTTTTCATCAAGTCAGTGCTTTAGACAGAGATGTATTATCTCTACTGATATCTCTGTTTCCTGAGTCTATATTAACCCCCTCCCCCAGTCCTTCCACAGCCTCTCCCTTCTGCCTCAGCTCGGCAGTATCACTCTCAGTGTTCTTCAACAACGGGGCCATGCCCTGCGCCTGCCATGAGGTTGGAGCCGAGAGCGACACCTGTGAGCAGTTCGGCGGTCAGTGCAAATGCTTGCCCAATGTGATTGGCAGAGACTGCTCCATGTGTGCCACGGGCTACTGGGGGTTTCCCAACTGCAGACGTGAGTGTGTTTATGCTACTAGATGACCAGGGTCTACAGCTGGTTTTCGAAAGGCACTGCTCAGAGCCACTCAGATTAGTGCAGCTCAGCCCAACCATCTATTCTGGTTTGGTATTTTTCCTCCACTTTTTCCTGATTTTTAGTCCCCGTTTCATCGACGTTCCTGGCAATCCGTGGCGGTTCTACATGGAATTTCTCCCCGGGCGAGGCCCCCCTTGATCGTTTTGTTTTTCCTTTTTTTATTCGGCCATTTCACACAATTCAGAAAAACCTGATAGGCCTGTGTTTATGATATTATGAATGAAATGTGCATTAAATGGAAGAACATCAAGATGTGACTGACCTTAGCCATGTTAATACAGTTGATTCAGCCCCCACCCGCTCATTTCATTTGGGAAAGACCCAGAGGTGAATTCCCCCACTGCACCCCTCCCCTTCCTGTTCTTCATACACACACGGTGCACCCACCTGAACCCTCTCAGTCAGCAGGAGTGCCTGCAGCTGCAGGGGGCGCCAACTTGCTGTTTCCAGTCCAGACGCTGTCACATGACAGATAATAGAAAACCTCGGTGCGGCGCAGATTTCTTTCTTTTTTATTTTTTGTTCTCAGCGCTTGTGCGCCCCTTTTGTGTCATGAAAAAATGCCGCCCCGGGCAACTGCCCTGTCTGCCCGTGCCTAAAACCGCTACTGCCGGCAATTGCCCTTCGAAAACCAGCTTATGAGTGCACCGTTAGACTCCCTTACACCTGCTCTGGTCTTAGTCTCAGAAGTGCACCGCTAATCTCCCCTGCAGCATGCACCTGTGGTACCAGACTGTGTGAACCGGTGACAGGGGACTGTATCTGTCCTCCAAGGACTCTGCTACCAGAGTGCACCCAGTGTGAACCCCAGACCTTTGGCTGCCACCCGGTGGTGGGCTGTGAGGTCTGCAACTGCTCTCAGATCGGTATCGCCTCAACTGACGTTAGCTGTGACACGCTCAATGGGCAGTGCAGGTACACAGAGATAGATCCATCCATTACTCGCACACACACATGCACACACACGTGCACACATGCACGCACACACACACACACGTGTACACACGTGCACGCACACACACATGCACACACACCAGCAAACGTTCTTTTACAACATCTGACGCATGTAAATCACTAAAAAGTGAATAAAAGTAATTATATTTCCAGATGTAAGAACCACGTTGTTGGTCGCCGATGTGACCGCTGTGCCCCTGGTTTCTATGGTTACCCAAACTGCAGACCATGTGACTGTAACGAGGCAGGAGCTGAAGAGGATGTGTGTGACCCTTTTACAGGACAATGCCTTTGTAAGGTTAGTTAATCACACACACACACACACACACACACACACACACACACACACACACACACACACACACACAGGTGTGAACACCTACACACATCTCTCCTCTCTCTTCACCCTGTCCACCTGCAGGAGAACGTTCAGGGTTCTCGGTGCAATCAGTGCAGGATTGGTACGTTCCACCTGGACCCAACCAACCCTAAGGGGTGCACCAGCTGCTTTTGCTTCGGAGCCACAGACAGATGCCACAGCTCAGATAAAAGACGCACCGAGGTTAGTTTCCATCACATGCTGCAGCTGAAGCAGAATCTAACCACATTCTGGTGATAAAGTCGTGTGTCTGAAGCCATTTAATGCCATGAAAGGTTTGTGATTGTTCCCAATTCCATGTCAGTGATGACATCATCAGCTTCCTCCTTCCCAGGACCGTTAGTTACAGTGCTGCTTGTCTTGTGTTTTCTAGATCATGGACATGAAAGGCTGGGTGCTGCTGGGAGCAGACCGACAGGAAGTCCCAGTGACAGTGTATCTGGATCAGGATCTGGTGGAGGCTGACCTCAGTGACGTTCCTGATGTCTACCAGGACCTCCACTGGCATGCACCAGAGAAATACTTGGGAGACAAGGTGGGAAAAGGACAGGGAACACGGCAGAGTCTACTGGGATGAAATTTTAGGATAACATGTACAGATTATCTGTGAATGGGACCGGGTTTAACTTTGTGCAGACCTGCTCACAAATGGAAACATTTATTATTTTTATAAAACTAGTTTTATTTAAATAAACCCCATGACTATATGTTCCCACTAGAGCTAGTCTCTGAGTCACTGATCTGCAGGTTTAAATGTAGAGAGTACAGTAGAATCTGTTTAAACAGGCTGCAACCCTACACATGGAGAGGAGAGGCCTTTACTACATCTTCTAAAGCTCCACGGACCAGTTTCAGATGTTCAGATGATTCATTAAGTAGAAGTTCATAATTAGCATGACTACAAACTAGAAATCGACACGTCGCATATGTGACGTCACCACATAATCCCCTCTCCTCTAGCGTAGCTGCTACTCACCACATGACCAGAGTTATGGTGGCTCTTTCCTCCTGTGGGAAGTTTGCTGAACTTACAGCCCTTTTCTCTCAGCTTTCTCCGCGTCTGGTTCGATGACGTCACTTTTGTGAAGCACATTTGTAGTCCTGGACTTATTTTCACATAAAACCTAAAATAAAGTTTCCCCGTTTGAACATAAGCGCGTTCTTGGTATCAAAAAGCTTCTTTAAAATTCCCGGACATCAAATGTGACATCCATGGCACAAAACAAGCGGAATTAGAAAATAGCGTTTTTAGCCCCATTGACTTCCATTCATTTTTTCGTTCTTCCAGGGCCCCGTGGTGCTGAAGTACATGCCACTAGAACAGTACCACCCCTGTTCCAGATGTTCATTTTACTTTTGTTTCTCCTGTTCTCATCATGGATCCATGTTTCTACAGGTTTCCTCCTACGGGGGTTTTCTCAGGTACCGCCTTCACACCCAGACCATGAGGGGGGATGCGCTGCCTTTGCCAGCTGAAGCCTCCAGACCAGACATCATTCTAAAGGTAGATAACCCAACCGTGTTAGCAGTGTTTGTGCAAATGGGGGAGGCGCCATCACATGGGCTGTGTGGGGGATTACTGCTTCTGGCGAACTCGTGTGTCCTGCCGAATGTGAGAGCTGGCGGGGGCTTTGAGTTTGGGGTGTTGTGTCAGACCAAGCAGGGCAAGCGGCCCGCTTGGCTATGTGGCCCACTGGGTCAGTGACTGAATGCCAGATAGGCCAGTCCACCCCTGGCTCTGGAGCTCCAGGATGTCCCTTGGAACCACAATGTAACCATAAGATCAGCACCCCCAAGCTGTGTACCAGGTTGTGAACAAGTCCCCAGGGTTCTGGAGCTCTAGGGGGCTCCATGGAACCAGAACGTAACCCAAAAATGTGCATTCTGGACCCGGGTCACAGTTTTAATAAAGGTCCCTAAGTCTAATTGCCATTTAAAAAAACTATTTGTCCATAAATTGGCACAAGCTGGACCATGGTCCTCAGGGGGGTTCTGAGGGGACAGTGGGTACCAGTTGGTACTCTGGACCTAAAGCCACTTACACACCAGCATCAGCTCCACTCCACTCCATGCGGCCCTTCCCAGCCTGGCCACGTTCTTTCCACACTATCATAGGATTGCGGATATAATTGCGCACATGGGCGGTCTCCAAAATTGGCGAGAAAAATAGATATCACTGTTGTCATGAGCGCATCTCCGAGCATGTGTCAGCACAAAAGAGCATGGAGAAGTCCGATTTTGAACCGCCCAGTTGGCTCCATGAATGAGAGAATGAGAAGTTTAATGAGAAATTAAAATCAATAGTACAATATAATATAACAAAGAAACATTTGCAGGTTTACAAGCAAACACACAACTTACACAATGCTAAGAATGGGCGCAGGCAGAAGCATAAGCTTATAAGCCCAGCCCCCCAAACCCTTTGAACTTAAACAAAATTTTAGAATAGCGTACCGATTCCATAATTTTTACATCATGTTTGAAATGTATGGGAATATATTCAAATCCCCATTCTAGCTTTATAAAAAAAAAAAGACCTTTAATGTTTTATGCATTTTTTCATTGACTTGATTCATAATATTTAATCACATTTGATTTAAACATACCCTTAAACTTTACCATTGTTGAACAATCTTTTTGCTCCTGGTCTAATTTATTCCACACATCAACCCCAACACAAGAAATACAAAGTTGTTTCATTTTAGTTCTTACTTTAGGCTTTCTGAACATGTTATACCCTCTGAGATCATAAACACTCTCTCTGATCTGGAACAGATCCTGAATTTGTTTTGGCATCAAATTATACATCACTTTATACATAAACTGTGCAGTTCTTAATGTAACTAATTCTCTTAGCTTTAATACTTTTAAATGAATAAAAAGTAAATGTGTATGCTCTCTACAAGCTGCTTTATTTACAAGTCGGATTGCTCTCTTTTGAATTATAAACAAAGGCTTTAAGTGGGTTTCGTAGGTATTTCCCCACACTTCAACACAATACATGAAATAAGGCAGAAATAAGGAACAATACAAAAGATATAAAGCTTTTTCATCTAAAAATTCTTTAACTCTATAGAGAACTGCTAATGATTTCGATAACTTTGCTTTAATTGAGTCAATATGCGGTTTCCAACTTAACTTTTTTTCTATGGTTACGCCAAGAAATTTTATTTCATTCTCTCTTTCAATTTCTGTATTATTTATTTTGAGATTTGTATCCACTGTAATTGCTCTATTAGTAAATATGATAAATTTTGTTTTATTTAAATTTAAAGTTAATTTATTTAAGTTAAACCAACACTTTAATGCATTTAATTCTTTCTCAACCTTGTCCATTAATGTTATTAAATCTTTCCCAAAACTTAGAACATTAGTATCATCTGCAAATAGTATGAAATGCAATGTTTTAGAAACTAAACATATGTCATTAATATAAAGAATAAACAACAAGGGACCCAACACTGACCCCTGTGGGATACCGGTGGTCACTGTCAGTAGCTGTGAATCAGTAGCTGCGTTTTCATGTGGCAAATTTCCTCAATCCGATTGAAATCTTGGTTGATCGGAATTTCCGAATCTCTGTTCACATGGACACGAACTGAAATGATCCGATCATGCCGTGCGTACATATGCACCAAGCATTTAATCCGATTAAATAGGTTGAGCATGCGCAGAGTTGCCTTTCACGAAAGAAAAATTGTAAACAAACGCCATGAAACGAAAAGAAAAATGTAAAAACAGAAATAACTATTCTTCCCGCTTTCCTGATCCATTTATTCAATTTAATATTTTTATTTAGCTCATAGAAGTTACGTTTTCTTCAGTGAATAACTGCAGATATATGCTTTGCTGCATTTTATTGTTGATTAAAATAAGGGAGGGTTATGTCTGCCTCTTGATCAGCTGGTTCGCGGGTCTGAATTGACAGCTGTTGCGCTGCGCTGCGGCAGAGCGGGGACGGGGGGGGGGGGGGTTAGCCTCATGTTTTATTACTGAGCTCTGTTGTGGCTTATTATTAATAACATGTGACGATCAGCTGAAACTGTTGAGAAAAATCTGTTCAAACAAAATAACAGAAGATGTTCAGAAAGTTTAGAAGCCTGTGTTCATCATTAACGAACCGCATCTCAGGTCATCTGCGTTTACGTGCTTTTAACGAACACGGACTTTACTGTCGTCCAGAGTATTTAACCGAGGACGTTTTCCTACCCAACATCAGCCTCCAATCAGGTCTGTAAAACCCAGATTATCCTGTGTTCTTTACAAGCGCATCTCCATCACCTGCTGCAGAAGCTGCTGTGTTCAAAGCTGACAGAAACGGGGATCCGTGCGCTGCAACCCCCACGATAAACCTGCGTATTTCCAGTAAAGATTTGAACATCTTTGTCGAATGATTTGTGCAATAATCAGATTTTTATTTTACTTCCACAAAATGCAAGTTCTGAATTAAATATTACTGAAACGGGACGGCTTGTTGTCGGATTTAAAAGCCGCCGCTCGTTAATTACACCGTCATTTTTGAAGTCAGGCAGTCCAAATAACAGCGGAGAGGCCCGCTGGCTGTTACACACATGCGCAGTGGGCATTATTTTACCCCAACAATCCGAATGGCTGTGTACATGCACGTCAATCGGAATGAAGAACGGAATAAACCACCTCTCTCAATCGGATTGAAATTTCAATCCGATCGGGCCGAATCGGATCAGAATATTCTGATTGACATGTTTACATGCAGAATTTTCAATCTGAATGGGCATTCAATCCGATTAAATATGCGCATGTAAACGTGGCTATTGTTGTTAATGTGGACATATTGGAGTCTGTTCTCTAAATAACTCTTAATCCAGTCATAGGCCACACCCCTGATGCCATATCTACACAATTTTTTTATTAATAAGTCATGATTAACAATATCAAAAGCTTTGGTCAGGTCTAAGAAGACCCCAACAGCATATTGTTTGTTGTCAATTGCATCAGATATTTTCTCCACTAGATCAACAATTGCCAGAGAAGTTGTCCGATCACGTCTAAAACCATATTGCTGTTCAGAAAGAATATCATGATGCTCAATAAAGTCATACAATCTTTTATGAAATATTGTTTCTAGTATTTTGGAGAACTGAGATAAAATAGAAATTGGTCTATAATTAGAAAAGTCATGTTTGCCTCCAGCCTTATAGATAGGAATGACTTTTGCAACCTTCATCCTTTAAGGAAATCTTCCTGATTGGAGAGACTGGTTACAAATATGTGTAAGTGGTTTGGCTATAATCTCAATGATTTCTTTTACAACCGACATATCAAATCCATCTAAATCTGCTGACTTTTTACTTTTAAATGTTTTAACAACTGTTATAACTTCATTTTCATTTGTGCCTTGAATAAATATGGTTTTGTCTAAATTTGTTATTTTACTCACAGCATCAGCATCTAATTTAGTATTTGATATATCCTTTGCCAAATTTGGCCCAATTTCGGTAAAATACTTATTGAATTCATTTGCTATTTCTTCAGACTGATAAATTTCTTGATTGTCTTTTGTTAGAAAAATATTTGGAAGACTATTGGTTCCACTACCCTTTTTTATTACATCATTTAATATGCGCCACGTATTTTTAATGTTAGATTTATTTCCTTCCAATAATTTGCTATAATAATTTCTTTTACTAGATCTCATAATACTTATTAATTTATTCTTGTATATCTTGTAATTCTGTTCTGCTTCCTCCGTTCTTTTCTTTAAAAAGTCTTTATACAGCTTATTTTTTTTCCTGCAAGCCTTCTGAATCCCCTTAGTTATCCACGGCTCTTCAGCATATTTATTCTTATCCACCTTATAAAGCAAAGGGCAGTTTTTTTCATAAAGAGAAGTTATAATATTTAAAAATTTTCCATAAGCCAAATTTACATCTTCCACATAAACCTCCTCCCAATTTTGTTCCATTAAGTCAGTTTTAAATGAATTTACTGCTTCTTGATTTTTTAGCCTTGTAACAACCACAGATTCACTTTGAGTAGTTACAGTTGTCCTTTGTACGACTGTGAAAACCGGTAAATGATCAGACATATCGGTAATTACAAGACCACTTAACACATCATATTCAAGAATATTTGTAAAAATATTGTCGATCAGTGTCGCACTAGTTTTTGTAATTCGAGTTGGCCGAGTTATTAGTGGATACAGTCCCAAACTAAACATGGAATTAATAAACTCTGTATTTGCATTTTGCATTTGAGGATTCAACAGGTCAATGTTAAAATCCCCACAGACAAAACACATTTTTCTGTTGATTATATCATCATACATATCAACTATTTTTTCTTTAAACATTTCAACACAAGATCCTGGTTTCCTATACATACAACTGACTAACACATTCTTAGACTTTTCTATTTGTATTTCCACAGATACACACTCCATAATGTTATCCATAACTAATGTCATATCACCCACCAATCTACTTTGAAAGTTTTTATCAATATACAAAGCCACTCCCCCACCTTTTTTGCAATCTCTACTTGTAGAAAACATATATCCTTCAATTTGAAACACAGATATCCTCCCTTCCTGGAGCCATGTCTCAGAGATTGCTATTACAGTAAATGGATGATTTGATTGCTTCAAACATTGCATAATCTTCACAAAATTTGAATTTAGACTTCTACAATTGAAATGTATAACAGATAATTTACCTTTTATAGTGACATTATGTTCAAACTGGTCTTCAGTATAGTATTCACAATGATTTTGTACTCTAGTGTAAAAATTGTTATCTGGGTCAATGTCATCCTGCATATCCTGTGGTTTATATTCTGTGTAGTCAAACCTTTGCAATTGTAAATTTTCATAACTTGAATTACCAGTCTCTGTTCTTACTGTATTGAGAGTTGAATAATCCAGATTCTTCGTATATCTTCTTGTTGTATCATCCATGCGTGAAGTTGGTTGTCTTCCTCTTGTTCATCCTTGGTGATCCACAGCAGACGTATGTCATTTGTATTGATCAAGTTCTTTAATATCTCTGATGACCATCACTTTTGCCTGCTCCGGGGGACCATTTAGCTTTATCAGTACTTTGCAGTTTCTTGTCCAAGTGTCATGGATCTTCTTTTCTTTTCTCAGGATCCTTGCTTGCCTTGCGATTTCTGAGTTTCTTTTCGTAAGATGCTCATTTACATATACACTTGTACCCTTTAATTTTTTTGCATTCCTCAGCACCTCCATTTTACATTTTCTACTGGCAAGCCTGATCACAATGGTTGATGTTTTACTATGTTTTTGAGCCAATGAGTGACAAGCCACAATGTCTTTACTGGATATTGCAATATCTTTGCTGTTGAAAAATTTGATCACCTGATCCTCAAGTGAGGGAGAACCTGGAGAATGAGTAGCAGTGATTTCAATGTCTTTTCCCCCGTCACAGGCTGCGGCCTGTGCATAGGTACGGTGTATTTCCAGTCCTGATATCAAGAGATCATCCAACCTTGAATGTTGCTCCAACTCGTCAACCCTCCGTTCAAGCAGCTCAATTTTTTTGTCCTTTTCTTGTATTAAAGCCTTAAGTTGCTTGACTTCTTTCAATACCTCCTGTAGGCCGCTTTGCTGTTTTGCCACTTTAGTTATCTCATGTGACATGAAATTCAAGGACTTTTTTATCTCCTCCATATCTTGGACCAGATTCTCCATAGACATCGTTGTTCCAAACAGTTTCCTTGGATGGTTAACTTTATGGCGTTGTCAGATTCCCAGCTGGTTGGAACATGTGCCGAAAAAAATATGTCCAACACTTCATGTATCGAATAAATGTTCAATACTTCATCTAGCTCAAAAATGGTTTAAGCCAAAGGTTTCTAATTACTTAAGCCACAAAAAAGCAAGCTTAGAAAAGGTGGATGTTGTCTTATTTTGCTGATATTCATATATTAGGAAAGCTCAGCAATCTCACCACACCTACTCGGCAGCCATCTTGGAAGAAGCAGACCGCCTTGGGAAGAGGGCCAAAAAGATGTCCGGTTCCAAGATCCAAGGCTACCTAAATGAGAACACTCCAAACCTGGTCCCGGCAAAGTAGATCTGATGCTAGTGATAGTATCTTAAGCACTAATCTGATCACCAGCCATGCCCAATGGTCCCACACTTAAGCCCTCACTTAGTCTGGGCAAAAATAAACCTTGTGGTTCTGGTACTCTAGCCATTGTCAATACATTACTGCCATATTTATTGTCATGCAGTTGGCATGAAATACCTTTAGGACATGATGGCCAACTGACACAGTTACATTAACCCTCTCAGGCTCAGAATAAGTTTTGATAAAAGGACGAACAACTAAGTCCTTCAGGGGAACTTCTGAGTTAAAAATGCTCATGAGATACGTACGTGGAGTAACCAGGTAGGCAGGTTTTTACGTAGCAAATCTGCAACGCCTGCCTCCAGAGGCTTAAGTCACTTGGCAGTCATTCCTACACTACCAACCTGACACAGAGTTTATTGTTCACTAAGTATATGGGGACATTCCTGAAAATTTAAACAAGTAGCACAAGTTACTCTCAAGGCATGAATGCCTATGTCTACACTGTAAAATTATTAATAATGTATTGTAAACCGCTAGGGTATCATGACCACCATTTGTTTTTGCTCAGAAAAGGGGCTTGAAAACAGCAATGGGAGCTTTAAGTGTGGGATCCCCAGGCATGTCTGGTGGTCAAGTAAAGAGCCTACATCCATTCCTAGAGCTGATACGTCTTTTCTGGGTTAACTCTGGGACAATTGCCCAACACCAAAAGTTTATGGAGTGTCCCAGTGATGCTCACCTTTGAGAGCATTTGGATTTTGTGGAGATTTGCCGAAAATTGAGCTGAAGTATCCCAGACTTGAGGCCTGTTGTCATGGTTAACCCTGTGACAATTGCCCCATACCAAGTCCATGCCATAGAAACACTACTGTGTGTGTGTGTGCGTGTGCGTGCGCGCGCGCACGCGCGCTCTGTCTTCTCCTTCCCCAGTGAGTCATGGTGGATGGCTGCTTATACTGAGCCATTTTAGTCTACGGACTGTGTCAAACTAGCAGCAACGTGGCAATTTCCAGGCGCATCCCAGAAGCGGCACGCCAGGACCGGGTTCTAATTTTGACACGAGCCACTTCTTGGAGATGTCATTTTCCACAGTTAACACCATCGACATATAAATAAGGGGGCTGTAAGGCTGGGATCAACTGACGACACCTGGTCGAACTAGCTACAAGCTAACCTGAAGCTAACCCAAAGCTAATGCGGAGGTGGGAGCTAAGCTAACGGAGGTAGCAACCTAGCTACAACCGGAGTTAACTGTGCACAACACCAGAGCTTCTGAGTCAGAGATACGCCGGGCTGACCGCTGGGTAAAACCGGGTGGAACACAGAGGTCTCCGAGAGCTCCACAAGCCGATAGTGGGAACCCAGCTCCACCAACATGTTGTATTTCAACCCATTTTCTACAGTGCAGCATTATGTTAAATGCACTGGGTTTTACCCTATTACATTTACATTTCATGGTTAAACAGTACATGTTAAAATCTAAGCTCAGCTCGGCAGTGACCTAAAATACATAAATATAATTTTACTTACCGAAAAAAATGAAGTGGAGACTCCTTGGACGCTCTATTAGTGCAATTAATGCCACAGCAAGTCATTTTGTCCAACAATTGCACAAAAAATATCCAAACAAGAATACACACACACACAGAGACTCAAAATCCCGGAGCAGTTTCCAGGCCAGACCGAGGCTCTACTGAGGCCTTTCCACGGAGCTAGCTCTGTGGTCACGTGGGTCTGATGCTCATTAATTATACAGAATTTTAGGCTTTTAATACACTTAAACAGAAGAGTGAGAAAAAAATTCACCCCCCTCAGAGTTGTCATGAGTGTAAACTAGATCATTTAAACCTAAAACATGTTCTGGGACCAGGCTGTAAACATGTTTATTTCTGCTGTGAAATTGGTATTTTTAACATGGGAGTCAATGAGGATTTGCTCGCTTCTGACACCAGCCCCTAGTGGATGAGGGTGGAACTGCAATTTTTGGTACTTGTGGGTTGGCCTCAATTTTAGAGCCACATTGTGGGGGCCTGGTTAACACAGGGCTAGACAGGAAATCACACACTGTTTCAGTGTAAAATCCCCAGTCATTTTCACAATAAATGCTCTGCAGCAATGCAATTTCATATGTATGAGGCTTATGTGTGACGATATGGAATGTGATTTCCTTAGTTTTGGGTTTAACTCATTAACTGTCAGCCATTTCCTGATTAGAAAAGCCCTTCGCTGCCAGCGTTTTTCAGCATTTTCACAGTTTTTTTAAGACTCACAGAACGTTGCACACTGTGATGACGTCAACGCCAAAACTACCAAAACAAAGAGTAGACTCACCTCTTACATCAGGAAGATTCTGCACATTTCGAGCGTTATCCATTCTTTCATAATCCGTTGTCCAATTGTGATCGGTAGAAGCTTTTCTGGTTCGCTCCTCACTTTTTTTTACAGCAGCGGCCTAAAACGATCTCCTAATATATGGCCCTTCTGCTTCCTGATCACGTGATGCTCGCGGATGAAGATCGGCTTTAGAACTGGAATGTTTGTTCTCATGGTATGGGGGCTCGTCCGACACCCCACATAGTAAAAAACAATGCAAATGACGACTTTAGTTGTCAATGGCAGTGTGCATAAACAAACAGTGACCTAAAGTCTCAAGGGACTGGACATGACTGAAAGCGTATTTGACTGGAAAGGACTTTACTGGACTTGACCGGAAAGGACTTGATTGAAAATTACTTGACTTGACTGCTAAGGGCTGGACCAGAAGGGAAGGTCTAAAATGGCTGGAACGTAGCTGGAAAGGACCAGACTGGATCTGACCATGACCAATTGTAAGGGACTAAATTGGACATGACTGGAACCAGACAGGGCTGGAAGTGACCAAACTGGACCGAGACTTGACTTGACCGGAGCGGACTGAAGGGGCCAGAGTGGAGTGAAAGGGACTGGAACTGTAACGATAAGGACTAGACCGGAGTGAAAAGGACTGGAATGGTCTTGATTAAAAAGGGCTTGACTGAAACCAGCTGGAGAGGACAGAATCTGGAAGGATGGGAATCTACTTGACTGGAAAAGACTGTACTGAAAGAGCTTCGAAGCTACGATGACAGAACATGGACTGTTGTGAAGGACTTCCTGAAATAGGGTGTGCGTGATGATGTGGAGAGGTGGAAACTGGTCTAGGGAATGCTGGGAATTGGAGTTCATGTAATGTCTCATGCAAAGTGGATGGCTGGAGGACTGGAATCGTTATAATGTTTATTGAAGTGGACGTTTTTTTCTGAGTTGCTGTAATTTTCTGATTTTGTGTCCTACAGGGCAACCAGATGAGTTTGGTGTACATGGAGAGAGAATACTCCTCACCTGAAGAGCCTCACCTTGGAATAGTTCACATAGTTGAGGTAATAATACTTTTACAGGGGTTTTACCATCCATTCATCCATTATTGTCTGCAAATGCGGGGTCGGGTAGTGGTAGCAGCAGCCTACAGTGGGTTCAAAAAGTATTCAGACCCCATCAATTTTTCACTCTTTGTGAAGTTGCAGCTGTTTGCTAAAGTCAATTAAATTAGATTTTTCCTAGATAATGCGCACATAGCACCCCATATTGACAGAAAAACACAGAATTTAAGAAATGTATGCAGATTTATTAAAAAAGACTAACTGAAATATCACATGGTCCCAAGTATTCAGATCCTTTGCTCAGTATTTAGTAGAATCACCCTTTTGAGCTAATCCAGCCCTGAGTCTTCTTGATAAAAATGCAAGAAGTTTATTACACCTGAATTTGGAGATCCAGAAATCTATTACCCTTGATGGTGTGTTTGTAATTCTATATTATTAAAATAAAATTTTTGTTTAACTACAGTTTAAATTTGTTGATGTTCTGAAAATCTATTCTTATCAGTCCCACACTGGGAGACTATTCTGTTAAATGGGATCAAATCTATTCAAGTATGTGTTCCAGTAAAGGATTAATTTATACTTCTATTTACACTGTTGTGTCACACCCTGTCCTGTCTCCCTGTTTGGTTCAGCCTTGTGTCTCGTTAATTACTCCCACCTGCCTCTCGTTTTCCCAATCACCTCAGCTCCCGGTCCTCCTGTATTTAAGCCCCGGCTGTTTTGTGTCCTGTGCCGGTTCATTGTTTCATTGTCCGCGTGCGTTCCAATAAATCTGTGTCAAAGAATCCTACCTGTCTGCCTGCTTCCTTCCCGGTCTGGATCCTCACCTCTTCTCCGCTCCACTCGCCACATGCCGTGACATGTTGTTGTTGTTGTTTTGCCAAATGTCCGGGTTATTCCAGCTGGGTGTGCGTCTGCATGGGATCAGTGAAGAGGCCGTCATTTGTAGTTATTCCCACCATGCTGCCAGAGAGGTGCTAATGTTAATATTTGTAAAGCTTCAATAGATTTATATGTTTGAGCTGATCAATGGTAGGTCCATTACAATCATGCCTAACTCCATATAGTCATTAGAACCGTTAGATTATCACTCATATTACTCAGAAAGGCTTAAGGAGTTCTGACTCACTCGCCAGCGTGAGGTTTTGTTTTTCCAGTGCTGAATTTTCCAAGTTGGTCCTTTTTCCTTTGAGGTGGATCTTCATACACCTCCTCCATGTGGGGAAAAGGTTCTGTAGAGCACCTAACCAGATCACACCTCCAGACTCCTCTCCTCTTCCTGTCTTGCTCCACACAGGGAAGTTTCCATCATTCTCAGACAGGAAACGCCGTGTCGCGTGAGGAGTTGATGATGGTTCTGGTTCATCTGGAGTCCCTGCAGATCCGAGCCCTCCACTCTCAGTCTGCCCACTCTGTGTCTTTGCATGGCGCCGTGCTGGAGGGGGCCGAGCCCTTGCCCTCAGGACGTCACGCCAACAATGTGGAAATCTGCATGTGTCCGGCCAACTACCTGGGAGACTCCTGTCAGGTGAGGCTTTCAATCCATCACTCCGCCTCCTGCATCAGTCCTAGTTCTGAATTAAAGAATGGAAGATAGATAGAAAACAAGCCTGCTTTTGGACCATGGTGGAGGTGGTGCTGGACTCCCAGAGCCAGAACCTCCATCTTTAACCTTTGTTTGTGTGTAGAAATGTGCTCCAGGCTTCTACAGAGACACCATCGGCCTGTTCCTGGGACGGTGTGTTCCCTGCAGCTGTAACGGACATTCGGACCAGTGTCTGGATGGGTCTGGATCCTGTGTGGTGAGGATCTTCTCCTCCATCACTTCACAATCTTCACATCTCAAATCTGAGCGTGGCACTCAGGGAGCATCCCTGTATGTTTGTCTGTCAGAACTGCCTGCATGGTACTGTTGGAAACCACTGTGAGCGGTGTAAGGATGGTTTCCTTGGTAACAACAGTCTCGATGGACATGCTGTGTCCTGCTCCGGCTGTCCCTGCCCCCTGAGGGCCCCGTCCAACAAGTCAGTGAACCCGTCTCACCTGTTCCTTTCCTCAAATACAGTCAGACTGACCGTTTGTGTGAAAGTTCTTGAAAAACTCGTTTCAGAAGCTTCCTGAACAGCCTCAGTTTGATGAACTAGAGTTTCCATCCAACAGGGATGATGAGCTAACCGCTAGTCCTTCCTAATGAATCATGTGACCCCCATCGTCACCAGCTTCCTTCTGGCTGAGTGCAGAGCTACATTTAACTAACAACAGGGATGTTTGAAAAGAACCTGTCACCTCCCGGTCTGCCAGTTTAAAGATGAAATCCATTCAAGATGGCAGCAGCACACTCTATCAGCGGCAGCAGAGCGGCGCACTCACAAACTTCAGAGTGGTCTTTTTCACACCGGGAGAGTCTTGGCTGCGACAGCTTTCTTGTTGTCCTCTTCGATGGACTCGCAATATCACAAGATCCCTCGAGATTTCAGGTCACTGATTGTTTATGCAATCCGCCGTGAAACCAAAACGAAGGAAATGATGTTTGAGATCGCTGTTTGATGTCATATATGATGTTGTACCTCTCCACTGCCAGAATCAAAGCCATGAAAGCACACCGCTGCACTTCTGGAACGATGCTGTGAGTAAATTAGCCGTTGGGTCACACGTAAGCTTCATTTATATGAAATTGCATCGCTGCAGCACCTTTATTTTGAAAATTAGCAGGGATTTCCTGTTTAGCCCTATGTTAACTGCAGAAATTGACGTGTCCCAGAAGGGGCACCTGATCCTATCTTTAGCGGCGCAGCGCGGCGTGCCACTTCTGGGAATTGCCGCATTGCTGCTGGTTTGCAACAGTCCATAGACTATAATGAAGCAGTGATGTTCTGCTTTCAGTGTGAAACCGGGCTAATGGCGACTCAGACAGGCTGTGAGCACTTTATTTCTCTGAACAGAGGCTGATCAGGAAGCTTTTTTAAACGGAAGCTCTTCCCACCACCGCGCTGATGACTCTGATGGTTGCTGTGTAGTTTTGCAGAGGGCTGTGTGCAGAAGAACGACGGGTTGCAGTGTCTGTGTAAGCCGGGTTACTCTGGACCACACTGCGAGAGGTGAGCTTTTACCTGTCTGGTTTTTCCACTTGGTGCTGGTTCCTAGTTCTAACTGTGGGCCTCTTGCACAGGTGTGCTCCTGGTTTCTATGGCAACCCCATGGTGCTCGGTAGTCGGTGCCAGCTGTGCCACTGCAACGGTAACACAGACCCAAACATGTTGTTCACAAACTGTCACCCACTAACAGGGGAGTGCCACAGCTGCATGCACAACACTGCAGGACACCACTGCCACATCTGTGCTCCTGGTTACTATGGAGACGCCATCACTGCCAAAAACTGCAGCAGTGAGTTTTACGTCAGATTTATCAGAGGCTGATGGGGCCCTGCTCCCAAAGTGAAGTCATGGTTTTCTGCTCTTCTTAGAATGCAACTGTTCTCTCTGTGGGACCGAGTCATGTGACCCTCACACGGGACAATGCCTCTGTAAGCCCGGGGTCACTGGACAGCACTGTGAGCACTGCCAGGTAAGGCACCTCACCTGTCAGAGGCACTACTTCTGTCTGCAGGTGTGGTTGCTTCTGACAGCCCCCATCTGGTCCCAGGTGTCGGCTTTTACGAGAACTGGTTGTGTTTTCTCTCCAAGGTGGACTCGTTTGGCTTTGACTCGTGCTCCGGCTGCCGTCAGTGTGACTGTGACACCTCGGCCGCTCTCGTCCAGTCATGTGACCCTCAGAGTGGTCAGTGTTCCTGTCAGCCTGGAGTCACTGGTCCACACTGCAGGCAGTGTGCTCCTGGGTTCTGGGACTATGGACCTAATGGCTGCAGGAGTAAGTTTGTTGAGTTCTGGGTGAAAATCCCATCTGCTCCTTTTCCTCTGGATCAAGTGATGAAAACACACTGGTTCTGTTTTCTTAACAAAGGAGAGAGAAGCTGCAGCTGCTGAAGGCAGATAGGTTTTCATTCCTGGGAATTTTGTCAGGTTAACCTTAGTGGGAGACAAGAAATGCATCTTAGCATTTGTTCTTGTTTCCCCTGTCACTCCCACAACCACAGTACTGAACCTCTGATCTCGACCATCCCACTCCTGGGGGTCACATGTCATATAAAACTAACTGCTGCCGTGCTGGATGAAGTACGATGCAGTCAGTTATTTCAAAATACTGCTGCACTTGGATAAAACTGTATGTTTTACAAAAAAGTCAATAGTTTTGGTGTGTCTGTGCAGAATGTGAGTGTAGCAGGGGCCTCTGTGATCCCCGGACCGGAGAGTGCCACTGTCCCGATGGAATGACGGGAAAACAGTGTGACCACTGCTCCCAGGAATACAGCGTTCCTGTGGAAGACGGTCAAGGAATGCACTGTGAACGTGAGGAACACACTAATGCATGCATGCACACACACACACACACACGTGAGCACATGCACGCACATATAGAAGAGGAAACAATTTTCTATATAGTGCCTCTCAAGATAAAGCACAAGCACACACTCTTGCACACACTCTTGCGGGATGCGATGTGGGATGTTTGGGCAGCCTTGCTAATCTTCATGATTTTCCTGTATAGTCGTTGGTTGCTCTGATAATAAATCTCAGTTAAATACATCACACAGGAGACACACACAGTGATATTTGAGAAGGGATATGAAGTTCATAGGATTCACTAGCCTGGCCTGCCAGACTCCTCCTCTGTTTAATTCTGCACAGAGAAAGGCTCTGGGAACTCCTATTCAAATAGCCCCGCCCCCTGAGAATTCTAACCGAGCCAATCAGCGCTGAGCAGCGTACGTCACACACCTCAACGCCGAGTTTGTCATAAACATGGCGGCTGAAGCGGAGTTCGCTGCGACTCTTTCCTCTGGTCTAAATGACTTGGACACGTCTTTAAAACAACAAGTAGAAGCGCTAAAAGCCTTTATTCTAAAGAAAGATGCCATTTTTGACTACAGCTCTAAAACTACAGCGTCGCACGGTACAGTCGGCATTTCCGTCTTTTTTCTGATTGGTTATTTTTGAGCTGCCTAGTCCCGCCCCTCATGTTCCTCTGCCTGTGAGTTACCAGACTCTCTCTCTCAACATTAGGCATAAATGTTAGCACTGTTGCCATTTTATTGATTCCAAAACCTTTAGAACTAATTGTTGGAACTCAAAATTAGTTTGGTAAGCTCTGTGACCCTTGACCTCCATACACAGGTGCATCCATTTATGAGAGAGTATTTAAGGGGACCAATTGTAAGTTTCCCTCCTCTGTGAATATCCTCTGAGGAGCAGCAGCACGGGGTCTCAGAACCGCTCTCACATGAGCTGCATCATGGTTTAGTCTCAGAGATTTCAGCTGTCTGGTTCCAGTTAGGAACGTGTTGAGGACATGAAAGACCACAGGCACAGTTCAAGTTAAGGCTTCACGTGGCAGACCAACAGAAATGTCAGATAAACAGAAGGGAAGAAAGGTGAGAACAGTCAGTCACCCACAGACCAGCACAAAGACCTACAACATCATCTTGCTGCAGATGGAGTCACTGTGCATCGTTCAGCTATTGGGTGCACTTAACACAAGGAGATGCTGCATGTGAGAGTGACGCAGAGGAAGCCTTTTCTCCACCCACAGCACAAACAGCTGCTTGAGGTTTGCTAAAGCACATCTGGACAAGCCAGCTTCATTCTGGAATAAGGTGCTGTGCACTGATGAAACTAAACTGAGTTATTTGGGCAGAACCAGGGCGTTATGCATGGAGGGAGAAGAACACAGCATTCCTAGAAAAACACCTGTACACATGTACACACCATGCACACACATACACACACACACACACACACATACACATACACAAACACACCCTAACAATGACTGTGAGACATGAGGACGGTGTGTGTCTTTCAGAGTGTGACAGCTGTGTTGTTGTGCTGCTGGAGGATCTGGAGGAGATGAATGATGACTTCAGCCTCATGTCCAGTCAGCTGACTCACCTCAACAGCAGCTCCATGGCCTGGGCTCAGTTGCAACGGCTGAACCAGTCGATAGAGAACATCTCTGTGAGTCTCTGCATGCAGAGCTGCGCCTGTCATCTTACGACCGGATGAAACTATCACACAACTTAAGTACAGATCTTGTGTAGCTCGTTTTTATCCTGGTGAAGGTTCTCAGTCATCCAGGTCATGGTCATTCAAAAGGGCTCAAATAAAGGCAGCTGCAATTCTTTGGTTTCTGGAGGACGTTTGAGACATCTGAGAAGCAAAGCGTCTTCAAGAAACCAAAGAAGTCCAGTTGTCTTCATTTGAACCCTTTTGGATCTCGTTCTTCATCGAGTAGAGACCGAGATCAGCTCTGATATTCTCATGGTTCCATCCTCTCAGCTTGCCGTAGAAAACTACAACAGCACGCTGGATGAAAGCCGGAGCCGGGCCAACCTTCTGGACGCTGACATCACAAACATCAGTGATGATATGGATGAACTACAGCAACAGGCGTGGAGCACACACACACACACACGCACACACACACACACACACACACGGTTCATCATAATAGCTGACATTTTTCTGAAGGTTGATTTAATTTACAAAGCAGAGAAATTTAAACCTCGTCTTTCACTTATTTAGGATTTAGGGTCCCAGTTTGGATTTTCTTCTTTAGCTTCACACACGTGAATTAGGCACACTGTTGAGTTAAACCACAGCAACGAAGTTACAGGGAGGAACAGAAGAATTTGAACACCCTTGATTTAGCAAGTTCTCCCACTTAGAAACCATGGAGGGGTCTGAGATCTACATACTAGGTGCATTTCCACCATGGATGTAATTTTGGGGGGGGGACAGGGGGGACATGTCCCCCCCCCCCCCCCCCCCCACTTTTTCCAAAGTCAAGTTTTGACCCCTGCACTTTTTACCATCCAAAAACCATATTACGCTATATTAAATTGACACTGGTTGAGCTCTAGGACCAAGCGGAAAAAAACTGTGTTGAAGCCTGTTAGCATACTGTAAAGTTCCCCCCCTACCCCCCCCCCCCCCCACACACACACACACACACACTTCTAAAGTGAAAATTACGTCCATGATTCCCACTGTGAGAGACAAAATTTAAAATGTTCAGGAAGTCACTTTGTATTAAAAAGTAAAATAATTTATTTGTATCGCACTGCTGCACATAAGTATTTAAACACCTGGCAATCAGCGAGAACCCTGGCTCTGAATATTGTCCCAATCCTAGCTCCATACTCTGAGACCTGTAACTCTGCCGTGAAAAAGTCTACCTGTACTCCACGCATTAATCTGAATCAGCAGCACCTGCCTGAGCTTACTAAACACACCTGTCCACCCCTGTCAGTCACACTCCTGCTACTACCATGAGCAAGACCAAAGAGCTGAGTTGTCTAAGATACCAGAGAGTAGTGATGGGTAGACGAGGCCTCGTGAAGCACGGACTGCATTGGTAGTGCCACAGTGTCGGTCTGCTGACCCCTGCTGGAGCGTGGACATTATTGCAGGCAGCAGACATGTTCAGTCAGCTAGTTTATACAATAACATGTTTTCCGTGTATTCCAGATTGTACACTGCAGTTTAAAATATATTTGATACACTTAAAGTACACAGTAAGATGAATAATGTCACAATTTGTGAAAAAGTGAAACTATCGAGAAGTTGAAGTTGCGTATAGACCTGTCTAAAGTAGGCTGTTGTTATTATTATTCATTTTTGATATGTTTCACGGTGATGTCTTTAAAACGAGTCATTTAGAAATGAACAAAAACCCTGAAGCAGAAACTTGGAGGGATAGGAAGGAAACAAGCAAATAGCTCATTAAGAACAGAATGATCTTTCATGGATCTCCTTCCATTTTCTTTTGGGCTCCAAAACGTGTCAGTGGCTGAACACTGGGACAACTTTGCTTCAGAAGATTTACTTTTGGTAGAAACTCATCCTGTTGGCAGATGGAGACACTCCTCCGTTAAAATAAAGTAGGCTAAAGACGACGGTGTCCCTCCGACCGGGGCTCCACCCTTGGTGGGGTGTTACTGTTGATAAGAAAGGTGAGGGATCATCTCAGAGCTACGCACGAGGAGCTGGTCAATGGCATGAAGAGAGCTGGGACCACAGGGTCAAAGGTCAAACATGGTGATAATCATGTATTGCATGGAAAATTTCCCTGCTCAAGTCATCACATGTCCAGCCCTGTCTGAGTTTCTCTAATAATAATAATAATAATGATACAAAAACATTATTAATAAGAAGAATATCAGCTGGATTATCCAGAGGCGGCATGGGAGAATGTCCTGTGGTCAGATGAGGCCAAGGTAAAACTTTTTGGTCTAAACTCCACTTGCTGTGTTTGGAGGGAAAAAAGGATGAGTTGCATCCCAAGAACATCATCCCTGCTGCTGCATGGGGGTGGAAATATCATGCTTTGGGGGTTCTTTTCTACCAAGACGACAGGACGACCACTCTGAGTAAAGGAGAGGATGAATGTGGCCATGACCAACAAACTCCTTCCTTTAGTCAGAGCATTGAAGATGTGTTGTAGCTGGGTCTTCCAGCATGACCACGACCTGAATCACACAGCCAGGATAACCAAACGGGGGCTCTGTTAGAAACATATCAAGGTTCTGGGGTGGCCTAGCCCGTCTCCAGACCTACATCCTATAGAAACTCTTTGGAGGGTTTCTCAGCAACAGCCCTGAAGCCTGACAGGTCTAGAGGAGATCTGTGTGGAGGAATGGGCCAAAATCCCTGTTGCAGTGTGTGCAGACCTGGTCAAGAACTAGAGGAGCTGCAAACACCGGATTATGTACCAAATAATAACTGATTTTGTGAAGTGTTCAGATAAGTGTGCAGCAGTGAAATACAAAACGTCTTTAAAAATCAAAGCGTGTGACTTCCTGACATTTAAAATGCTGTCTCAGTGGGAATGAGCCAGTGTGTGGAGGTCAGACCCTCCATGATTCCTGTAGGAGAACCATCAAAAACACGGTGTTCAAATACTTCTGTTCCTCACTCAGTCTGAATCCCACAGAAGACTGTAATCAGAAACAGACATGTTGATGGTGTCCTGCTGTACTTTAGGCTGAAGCAACGGCTGATCAAGTCGGTGACCTGGGGGTCAGAACTACTAAGGCACTGAATCGGGCCGAAGACCTGCTGTCCTTCATCAACAACATCAGCATGGAAATGAACAGTGAGACAGGCCTCAGCTGGTTCACCATGGCCAGCTATCAGAAATTATTAACTAATCATTAAATATTTGGTTTATTACTTTTAAGACAACAACTAGTGTTCGTGTCTCTCCACAGAAATCATGATGATGGCAAATCAGTCGTCCAATGAGACAGAAGCTGAGCAGAATGTAGAGGACATGGAAAGGAAGATGAGGGAAGCACAGGCCATGCTGAGGGAGATGAGGTACCGGAGCTGCGTGGGACAAAAGATGCTGGCTGACAGGGAGAAAGCCGAAGCAGAGAAACGTACGTTGGCTCATCCACTAACCTCACCATGTCCAGAAGGCTGTCGATGCCTTTCACGCACTTATTAACTCAGGCCTAGTCCACACGTAGCCGGGTTTTTTTTACAAACGAATATCCGCCCCTCCAGAAACTTGCATCCACACCACCTCGTTTTAAAAACAAACTGTCCACACGTACCCGGATAAATACGTTGTAAAGGACATGCCAGACCTGTAGGCGGCAGTACTTCCCCCGTTCTTAACCTCGTCCTTCGTCTGTGGTCTTCCGCAAGCAGCAGTAATTCCACTTGCAAAAACAAACAAGCAAAAAGCGCTTGGACAATTGATAAAGCGAGCGCAGCTCTGAGGGCGTCCATGCTGTCGGCTAGTGTAAACACAGGTCGCACACGTGATGTCAGCATTTTTTTGTCGCGGAAAGTGACGTTGCGGACCTTAAAACTCCGGTTTTGTCTGTCCACACGCAGACACCCAAAACGGCGAAAACGCAGATCTTCACTTTGGCCGGAGTTTTTAAAAAGATCCGTTTTCGTGTGAAAAAACTCCGTTTTCGTGTGGATGACAGGCCAAAACGTAGAAAAATATCTACGTTTTGGTAGATCCCCGGCTACGTGTGGACAGGGCCTGAGACAGGGTCAGATCTCTGCTGTTAGAGACAGGAAACAAGTTCTCCTAGAACCCCACTGCTTCCAGCAGAGCTAAACATGATGTGATGTTCAGCAGCAACCAGAGCCTGACATAGATCTGCTGCTCTCTGTGTCAGAGGTCAGAGCTGATGATGACACATGATGGGTTTCCTCACACTCTCTGTGTGAACCAACCACTGTTGGCTATGGTTAGCTTTAGCAGCCCTGTTGAACTGGATAGAGTCATTAAATAACCTCATCTGTTGGATTTAGCTAACAAACACACATATGGCTGTAAAACCATCATTGTTCACCCTTATCCCCAAGAGGTGGGTGAGGATAAAGGTATGTGCTCTGAGGTCTTGTCATGGGAGCTAAATCCATTTGTTGTGTCTGTGTTTTTGTCAGTGTTGGGCCGTGTTAACCAGGAATTAACAGGCCGTCAGGAAGAAAACAAGGACCTCGCCCAGGTGATCAGGGACCATCTGGCCCGCTTCCACTCTGAGATGATGGCTCTGCGAGAAGCCCTGAACGAGGCAGTGAACAACACCGCTAGAGCCACGGAGCTCAACAATGCTAATGAGAAAACTCTGGAGGACAATCAGGTGAGTGTAGAAGGAAACCCTACATGGAGGAGGATTACAGGTTTGACATCTGCTTCCTCTTTTTCTATTAGAGGAAAATAGAAGACCTGGAAATCAGAGAGCAGGAGGTCAACAACCTGCTGAAGATGGCTGAAAATGATGTCGCTCTAGTCAATGATGCACTGTCAATGCTACAGGACTCCAAAGAGGTTTGAAACTGTCAGATCTAAACATACTGTCTGACCAGAATCCCTAACTGACCAGTATCACTAATATCTGACCAGAATGACTAATCGAGAAGACAGAGCACACCTACACACACCTACACACACCTACACACACACAAACACACACAAACACACACACACACACACACACACACACACACACACACACACAGAAACATATATACAAGCAATGAGTGTGTCTCTAACTTCCCTCTGGGATTAATAAAGTATTATTGAATTGGATGAGCTCCTCCTTGAACTGTCACTTTATTGTGGTGGAGGAGTTTGAGTGCCCTAATGATCTTAGGAGCTATGTTGTCTGGGGCACTTTGTGCCCCTGGTAGGGTCTCCCAATACAAATTGGTCTTAGGTGAAGGGTGAGATAAATAACAGTTAAGAGGATCTTTCATGGATTTACAATCAAAGAGTCGGCGTACCCGGCCCGGAGGATTACCGGGGTCCCACCCTGGAGCCAGGCCTGGGGTTGGGGCCCGTGAGCGAGCGCCTGGTGGCCGGGCTTTCGCCCATGGGGCCCAGCCGGGCCCAGCCCAAACCAGATACATGGGCTAATCCAACTGTGGCCCACCACCCGCAGGAGGAACATGAAGGGTCCGGTGCAATGTGGATCGGGTGGCAGACCGAGGCGGGAGCCTTGGCGGTCCGATCCCCGGACAAGAAAACTGGTTTTTGGGACATGGAACGTCACCTCTCTGGCGGGGAAGGAGCAGGAGATTGTGGCAGAGGTTGAGCGGTACTGGCTAGATATAGTCGGGCTCACCTCGACAGCATTGGCTCTGGAACCCAAGTCCTTAAGAGGGTGTCGACATTCTCCTTTGCTGGAGTTGCTCCGGGTGAGAGGCGGAGGGCTGGGGTTGGCTTTTTGTTAGCCCCAAGACACTCTGCCTGTGTGTTGGGATTTACCCCGGGGAACGAGAGGGTACCTTCCCTACGCCTTCGGGTTTTGGAGTCCCTGGGACGAGTGCTAGATAGTGCTCCATCAGGGGACTCCATTGTCCTGCTGGGGGACTTCAATGCTCACGTGGGCAATGACAGCATGACCTGGAGGGGTGTGATTGGGAGGAACGGCCCGCCTGATCTGAACTCGAGTGGTGTTTCGTTATTGGACTTCTGTGCAAGCCGCAGTTTAGCCATAATGAACACCATGTTCGAACATAAGGATGCCCATCGGTACACTTGGTACCAGGGCAGCCTAGGTCGCAGGTCGATGATAGACTTTGTAGTCGAATCATCTGACCTGCGGCCATATGTTTTGGACACCCGAGTGAAGAGAGGGGCGGAGCTGTCAACTGATCACCACCTGGTGGTGAGTTGGATCAGAAGGCAGGGGAAGATGCTGCATAGACCTGGCAGACCAAAATGCATAGTGAGGGTCTGCTGGGAACGCCTGGCAGAAGAACCTGTCAAGACGGTCTTCAATTCCCACCTCCGGCAGAGCTTCGACCGCGTCCCGAGAGCAGTGGGGACATTGACTCACAGTGGGCCTTGTTCCACTCTGCGATTGTTGAGGCGGCTGTTGCTAGCTGTGGTCGCAAGGTGGCCGGTGCCTGTCGTGGTGGCAACCCTCGTACCCGCTGGTGGACACCAGAGGTTCGGGGAGCCGTCAGGCTGAAGGAGGAGGCCTACAGGGCGTGGCTGGTCTGTGGGTCTCCAGAGGCAGCAGACAGGTACTGGATAGCCAAGCGGGGTGCAGCAGTGGCAGTTGCCGAGGCAAAATCTCGGGCATGGGAAGAGTTTGGTGATGCCATGGAGAAAGGCTATCGATCGGCTCCAAAGAGGTTCTGGCAAACTGTCCGGCGCCTCAGGAGAGGAAGGCAACAACTCGCTCACACTACAGTGGGGATGGGGAGCTGCTGACGTCAACTGGGGCTATAGTCAGACAGTGGAAGGAATACTTTGAGGAGCTCCTCAATCCCACCTACGCGCATTCCAAGGAGGAACCAGAGCCAGGAGACCTGGGGATGGACTGTCCAATCTCAGGGGCAGAAGTTGCTGAGGTAGTCAAACAACTACACAGCGGTGGAGCCCCGGGGGCAGATGAGATTCGTCCTGGGTATCTCAAGGCTATGGATGTTGTAGGGCTGTCATGGTTGACACGTCTCTGCAACATTGCGTGGTCATCGGGGGCAGTTTTTGTGGAGTGGCAGCCTGGGGTGGTGGTCCCCATCTTGGGTGACCTGAGGTTGTGTTCCAACTATAGGGGGATCACACTCCTCAGCCTCCCTGGAAAGGTCTATTCCAAGGTACTGGAGAGGAGGGTACGATCGATAGTTGAATCTCAGATTGAGGAGGAGCAATGTGGTTTTCGTCCTGGCCGTGGAACTGTGGACCAGCTCTATACCCTTGCAAGGGTGACGGATGGGGCATGGGAGTTTGCCCAACCAATCCACATGTGTTTTGTGGATTTGGAGAAGGCTTATGACCGTGTCCCCAGGGGCACCCTGTGGGGGACACTCCAGGAGTATGGGGTGGGTGGCTTTCTGTGAAAGCCCATTCAGTCCCTTTACCAGAGGAGCGTGAGTTTGGTCCGCATAGCTGGTAGTAAGTCGGACCTGTTCCCGGTGAGGGTTGGACTCCGCCAGGGCTGCCCTTTGTCACCGGTTCTGTTCATTACCTTTATGGGCAGGATTTCTAGGCGCAGCCGTGGTGTGGAGTGTGTCGAGTTTGGTGGCAGGAGAATCTCGTTTCTGCTTTTTGCGGATGATGTGGTCCTCTTAGCTTCATTCAGCTCTTGCTGGGTAGGTTCGCGGCCGAGTGTGAAGCGGCTGGAATGAGGATCAGCACCTCCAAATCTGAGACCATGGTTCTCGACCGGAAGAGGGTGGCTTGCCAACTCCGGGTCGGGGGAGAAGTCCTACCTCAAGTGGAGGAGTTTAAGTATCTCGGGGTCTTGTTCATGAGTGAGGGTTGGAGGGATCGGGAGATCGACAGGCGGATTGGTTCGGCATCTGCAGTGATGCGGACGCTGAGCCGATCTGTCGTGGTGAAGAAGGAACTGAGCCAGAAAGCCAGGCTCTCGATTTACCGGTCAATCTACGTCCCAATCCTCACCTATGGTCATGAGCTTTGGGTAATGACCGAAAGAACGAGATTGCGAATACAAGTGGCCAAAGTGAGTTTCCTCCGTAGGGTGGCCGGGCTCAGCCTTAGAGATAGGGTGAGGAGCTCAGACATTCAGGAGGGACTCGGAGTAGAGCAACTGCTCCTCCAGATCAAAAGGAGTCAGTTGAGGTGGTTTGGGCATCTGGTCAGGATGCCTCCTGGACGCCTTCCTGGGGAGGTGTTTCGGGCATGTCCTGCCGGCAGTAGACCCCCGGGTCGACCCAGGGCACACTGGAGAGGTTAGATCTCCAATCTGGTCAGGGAACGACTTGGGGTCCTGCCGGAGGAGCTGGTGGAGGTGGCCGGGGAGAGGACGGTCTGGAGCTGCCTAGTTGGGATGCTGCCCCCGCGACCCGGACCGGATAAGCGGAGGAAGACGACGACGATTATTGAAGTGAATTGAAGTAGTGTTTCTATAGCTACATTGTGATTTCTTAGTAAATATTTTATTTATTAAGATATAAGCTGTATTATCTTTATCCTAGTGAATCTATAATTAAACGGGTAAACTGGTAGTAACATTCCACGTCAAAGAAAGTTAAAAGTTATTATCAGGAGAGGGAGAATGTTTAAGTGGTTAGCAGCAGTGTGCTAGACGATGGCCCCCTCCATGAGGCCACCACAGCTTAGCAGAACATCGTTGTAGCTTCTTCTGGGGAGAAAAACACTTAGAGAAAAAATAAAGTTAACAGCTGAAATAGCAGGAAATAATACAGTTAAAGAGCAGATAGTAGAAGAAGGTAGTAGAGTGTGGAAAGTGGTCAGTGTATCCTCCAGCAGTCTAAGCCTATAGCAGCATAACTACAGAGATAACTCTGGATAACATAGCCTTTTTAGATGGAGGCATGTTGGAGGCGGGGCAAGGGAGAGTTGTCTTTACCGACTGTACACTCCACCTCCCTCTACTCCCCCACTTGTCCAGATTTAGGCTAACATCAGATTTTAACCATAGGCCCTATCAAATAAAAATATATATTCTAGGAGCCACCAGTAAACCTGCAGTCTGAGAGCGAAGTGCTCGGTTAGGAACATATGGAACAATCAGATCACTGATGTATGATGGAGCTTGATTATTAAGAGCTTTATATGTGAGAAGGAGGATCTTAAAATCTATTCTGAATTTAACAGGCAGCCAATGTAGGGAAGCTAAGACAGGAGAGATATGATCTCTCTTTTAAATTCTCATCAGAACTCTAGCTGCAGCATTTTGGACAAGCTGAAGACTTTTAACTACATTCTGTGGACTTCCTGAGAGTAATGAATTACAGTAATCCAGTCTTGATGGATCCTGTAGAGGTTTTTTCCTGCTAAAGGGGAGTTTTCCTCTCCATTGTCACTACATTTTTATGTTTATTTATTTGGCAGACGCTTTTATCCAAAGCGACTTACAATTTATAACCTATAGGGCATGTTGTGATCTGTGGGGGGAACCGTAGTACCCGGAGGAAACCCACGCATGCATGGGGAGAACACGCAACTCCACGCAGAAAGGCCGCAGATGAGTTTCGAACCTGCAACCTTCGTGCTGCGAGGCAACAGTGCTAACATCTTCGCCACCATGCAGCTACATGCTTGAGGATTGCTGTAAAGACTCTGACACTAGTCAGTGACTTGATGCAACCTGCTGGGTTGCTTATATAGGAAACTTGTTTACTGATTGGCTTAATGAACTGACCTGTATTGGAGTGTTTACTATGTGAAGTGCCTTGAGACGACCCTTGTCGTGATTGAGCGCTTTATGAATAAACTTGAATTGAATTGAAAATTGAATTAACGTGTCATATCAGCAGGTGAGTGGCTGAGCCAGGTGGAGGTGCGGCTACCTCACCTGGAGACCAGTGCAGTGCAGCCACGTAGTAATTTACTGACAACGTCACATTTTCCAGCTTAGCCATCAGCCACAGCTGGTTCTACATGAATATGGAGCAGAGTTTTAACCTGAAGATGGAGATAGTATTATGGTTTTGGGCTGAAATATTAAATTTAAAGTAAGTTGCACTAAACTGCCACACTAATGATTACACATGTGTACAGCACCATTAGACACTTCTCTATACAGGTTATCAGCAAAAACAAGCACATTTAGGCGTTACTTGCTCTTTAAACAGAGAGGATGCAGAGTGCTGATCACGATTAATATGCTCGCTGCATCCGGCGCATGGTACATTCTTAAAGTGGTGCAACAAAAAATTATTAACACACGATAGTTCATATTTGTCTATATCCTCTAGTACCTTGTCTTTTAATCCTGCCTGACGTGCGCCACTGCTGTGGAGCTCATCATGTGCTGCGTGATTTCACTTCACTGATGCAGCATTGAAACACGCACCACTCTTTGCGGTCAGGAGATCCCTTTGATCTGCTTAGTTCAAAAGTAACTGATGAGGTGAAAAAGTATGATGCCAGGCAGCAGTTTTTCTGGAGAATTTGAAAGTGATGCAGGAAGATGAGAGACAGAAAGGACAGGAAAATAGTCAAATAAAAAGAAGGAAAATGTAGATAGATTTATCTCCACTACACATTTTTACCTGTATAAAACAATAAGTTATACACATGTAATACATTTGATACAATTAAGATCACCTTCAAAACGCAGTCACACACTCACTGTCATTTAAGGCATCTTAGGGGCCAAGGCAAAACAGAACAAAAAGGGAAAGTGAAAGTGACTTGGGCAACCGATCACACCTTTTGCAATGCCACGCCCCTGTATATAATTCATGCATGTGCACGGGCACGTAAACTAGTGTCATTTAAAACAAATACTAGCGTGTTTGCCACGTGTGACCAGAGTACAAGCTGTTAAAATGTAGTCACATCTATAGAGTGTTTCCTTTTTATATGTTAGCAGCTGTAAGGTAGTTTAAGGCTATTCTAACATATTCATAAAGAGGACAGCATGTTAATATATGGGTCCATAATTATACTTATTAATAATCATCAGAAGTAACGTTAGTGGAATGAAACGCTCCTGGCTGCAAATGAAGATGAAATGCAAAAGGTGTCAAGATGTAAATGCAAGTAGAGCTCATGTTTGAAAGTTTAAACTCCACATTTATTAATAATTTAGCCATTAAGAACAAAGCTGCCGCTGCTGCTACCGCTGTGGGCCAGCGGTGGCGCTAGTTCACCACCTCATAGCTGCCAGCTGCTAAGAAAAAGGGGGTGTAACATACCTCGTCCAGTCATATTCACTGAGCTTCAGCAAGCCTAGCTGTAAACCTGCCACGGAGCAGGTTTGTTCTGCAGCATGTGTTACCATGGTGACTGGGAGGGGCTTTAGGCTAGACATGTCTGTGATACCAAATTTGGGGAAGTTAAATGGGATGTTCAAAGATGGCCTGGATTTGGTGTCTCCCCCAGGTTTGGTACCTGTCCACAGGTGCAGCTGCTGTGATCCAAACTGTTCCGCTCCGGGGTTCTAACTTGTCTGTGTGATTTTAGGAGTACGAGCGTCTAGCTGCCCAGCTGGATGGTGCCAGGCTACCTCTTACTGACAAAGTGAAGAAATTTGGTTCGACTGACTCCTACATTCCTCTGGTCGAGGAGGCCGAGAACCATGCGGAGCTGCTGGACGCTTTAGCCAAGAACTTGTCTAGGTAAAATGAGAGAGAGAGAGAGAGAGAGAGAGGACTCATGTCAGCCATGTCAGAAGACAAGAAACAGATATTAACTTGTTAACTTGTCGTGTGTTCCAGTGTTGTTGCAGAAACCAGGAAGGAGGGTATTGTAGACGTCACAAAGGCTTACAGCAACATAATCAACAGCATCAGTGAAGCTGAGGAGACCGCCAACATGGCAGAGAAGGCTGCTAATGACACTCTGGAGGTACGGGACATCTATACCTGTCCGTCTGTCGGAGGGGCTTAGGGTTAAGCCTAATTTATACTTCTCCAACTGCGTCGGAACGGACGCACGCAAAGCCATTATTCGTCATTTTGAGGGCTCTCCAACAGACTCGCAAGGCCGGACGGAGTCGAGCTCTCTTTTCTAAACATCCGTCCGTCGAGACGGAGAACGCAAGCTTGTGATTGGTCAGGACTAGGGCTGCAACAACGAATCGATAAATTCGATGAAAATCGATTACTAAAAGCGTTGGCAACGAATTGCGTCATCGATTCGTTGTGTCACAAAACTCTTCCAAAAGCGCCCCCCCCCCCCCCCCCTTCCCGCCCGCCGTTGCGCGCAGACCAGAGCAAGTCAGATCAGCGCGAGGGAGAGCCGCAGATCAGCGCGAGGGAGAGCCGCAGATCAGCGCGAGGGAGAGCCGCAGATCAGCGCGAGGGAGAGCCGCAGATCAGCGCGAGGGAGAGCCGCAGATCAGCGCGAGGGAGAGCCGGCAGATCAGCGCGAGGGAGAGCCGGCAGATCAGCGCGAGGGAGAGCCGGCAGACTTGCGCTGCTGCGAACCGGTTCCGCATTGTTGCGCAGCGATCCAGGCAGCTGCTTCCAGCGCACGGTCCATTCTCAAAGCAACCAAAAAAACTATAATTAGCACACGATCGTTCATGTCCGCACATGTTCTCTATTTTCTGTCTTATTTGTGCCTGAAGCGCTCTACTGCGGAGCTCATCACCTGTGCTGTGGTGATGTCACCTCATGCAGCATCGAAAACGCGCTCTGCGCTTTTCGGTCAGGAGATCCCTTTGATCTGCTCAAAAGTAACTGATGAGGTGAAAAGGTAAGAATCCAGGCAACAGATTTTCTGGAGAATTATGAGGAGATGCAGGAAGATGAGAGACAGACAGGACAGGAAAATAGTTAAATAAAAACAAGAAAACAAAACAAAGTGTTGAAAAGTCAAATGTAGGTAGATTTATCTCCACTACACGTTTTTACCAGTAAAAAACAATAAGTTATACACATGTAATAATTATACATCTGATTCAATTCAGATCACCTTCAAAACTCAGTCACACACCCAGGGCCGTTTCAAGACATTTTGGGGCCAAGGCAAAATGCCCCCCCCCCCCATAACTGGGCTCCCCAGAAGCCTCTGTGTAATTCATGCCCTCTCCAGTAGTGTTAGTTATATGGTGTTTATAAAAGCCCCTCAGACATTACTGACATATTCTAATATTATCAGATGAAAAACTAAATTGTCAGACATGCTGTCTCATCTGCTTCTTTTATAAACTTGCAAAAAGTAACAAAACCATTTGAAAGCCACTATTTGTGGATTCTCTGAAAGTTTCCATGGAGTGTGTGACAACTTATTTTTTCATTGATCCTATCGTCTAATCTCACAGCTGAAACAAGCATCCTTAATAATCTGTGCACAGGAAGCTTACCGATGCTGTAGTAAAACAAAAGGTATAATAATTTATTATTAATAAAACCTTGTTGCAGCACTAAAGCAGAAAAATTAGATTTTGCATTAAATATGCAAAATATTTACATATGAATTGTTTTAGAGCCCTTTTATTGGCAGAATCTGATATTAATTTAGTTCATACAAAAATGGGTCCCAACATGGTTTGTGTGGCGTTGCCATAGTGTGACGTCATAGGCACAGATCCCCTGTCCTCTTGTTTGGAAATGGAGATATGATCACCCTACATTAAACAAACTGTCCACCCGGGCTTTTGCGCTGCACAGAGACGCTTCGCTGCCTATGACTGAACGTCAGTTGAGAGTCAGTCTCATGCAGACTGACCAATGAAGAGAGGGCCTCAAGTTAAGACCCTCTCCTCATTGGTCAGTCCACACGAGGTGGGTCAAAGGTTACTCTGGGCGGGTTACGTGTTGTCAGGCATTCAAGTATTGAGTATATTTACTGCATATTACAGTAAAATATTCTGTATGTGACCACATTATGGTGATCCTTGGGTCGTGATGATGGAGCCCTTGAATATTGTTGCCCAGGGTACAACAAAGTGTTAATCTGGCCCTGGTTCCGCCGTCACATTCCCGCAGAAACTGGTTGATCACACTGGGGCCAGACTACTAGCATGTGGTTTTACAACCACAATGTCTTCGGAAGCAAAAACGCTTTTAAAAGGGAGGGAGGAGTCCTAACTGTTGCTGCAGGCGTGTTGTGTGAGAGTGCAGTTATATACTGGTTAATATATTTTTGGGTTCAGTTGCTTTCATGTGGCCTAATGTGAGTCTATTTGGGATCATTGGAATGATCAGCAGCATTTCTTGATGTGACTTTATGGCAGTTGCCCAGGGCATCATCGCAAGGAGGATGGCATTCATTTACTTTTGTTTTATTTGGTATTTTTTCAGTCATTTTTGGAAATAGTGATCAATTTTGATTAATTCACAGCCTATGTTTAATTACATTTAAAATAAATGTCAACAGATGAGATCAAACAAAACAGATGAGAATTGCCCTTAAGCTGTTTAACTTGGACCAAGCATTTTAGGTCACAGATAGATGTAGCTTAGGGTCTCTGTCTGTACACCTTATAAGACAATTTAGGTGATGGCATGTTGTTTTTCTGCTATTGAACTGTTTTCTAATAATGTTGTGTTAAATAAAGTGAAGGAAGGAGAGAAATAACGTTTCCCTAGCAGTTTTTAAAAATTTCCCCATGTAATCCGATTAATCGATTAATCGTGTCGAGACCCCATCCGATTAATCGATTATCCAAATAATCGTTTGTTGCAGCCCTAGTCAGGACGCCTCTGTCGTCCACAGCGCTGCCATTGCGCCCTCTAAAACAAAGAGAGCCGAGGATAACTAGCAGCAGACACGGAGCAGCTTGAAGAATACCTCGCAAAAAAACTATAAAAATATGAACGTTTTGTGGAGGAGTGAAAAGATGCGCAGATGGTAGACGGACATGACAGGGAACGTGGGTTTAGAGGTGGCGAGCGCATGAAGAAGTGGAGGACAATGAGGGACAATTTTGTCAGTGTTAAAAAGTCTCTTAAATACTAAAAACACAATATAAACACACTATCTTGGACCAAATACATGACAGGATACCACAGAACAGCGCTGCGCCCTCTGCTGTCCTGGTGGGGAATTGCTTTGCAACACTCCCCAGGAGACGGAGAAGTATGAGGGCAAAATGTCTCCATCCGTGCGTGCGTGTCTCTCCCTCGTGGAGCTGATGGAGAAGAATAAATTAGGCTTCACACTATAGCTGTTTATGTGTTAGTGATGCAGCTCATGCTCAGGCCTCAGAGAGATTGGTTCCTACACCTATTGATCCTCTGATGAGGCCATTACTAGATCTTCTTCAATTTTTTCACCAGTCATAAAGAATGCCATCCTGTACAAGTGAAATCATAGTCTGACCACGACCCATAGAAAGAGTTTAGTCATGGGGCGGGATCCACAGTTGTCTTTCAGACTGTCTCCACATGCTATTGGACAACAAACAGCATGACATAATCACCGCTGTGGATGTCAGGCAACAGGGCACACGCTGTCACAGAAGATGCAGATACATCTTTTTCTATGCAAAGGACTTACCTCTATCTGCTCTGTTTTAGAAAATAAAACAGCAGGACCTTGGTCAGATGGCTGAAATGCTGAAGAACACCAGTATGGAACTGACTGATGAAGGCAAACGGTTGGATAATGACCTGAACAACAGTAAGATCTCCTCCTTACATCAGTTTTCTGACCAGAGGAAAATAGAATTGTTCGAATGCTGAAATGATTTTTTGCTTCACAGACCTGAAAGCCAGACTAGAGGATGCTCAGAGACGACTGGATGAAGCTAAAACCAAACATGAACAGACAACGACAGATCTGGAAGCCATTCAGGATAAACTCAACCTGACCTCAAGTATGAACATCTGATCTGTAAAGTCTGGAAATGTATCCAGAAGCTCAGTTACATTAGTAACTAGTGTCATTAAATTAGTAACAAGTGTCATTACATTGGTAACTAGTGTCATTACATTAGTAACTAGTGTCATTACATTAGTAACAAGTGTCATTCCACTAGTAACAAGTGTCATTACATTAGTAACTAGTGTCATTAAATTAGTAACAAGTGTCATTACATTGGTAACTAGAGTCATTCCACTAGTAACGAGTGTCATTACATTGGTAACTAGTGTCATTACATTGGTAACTAGTGTCATTCCACTAGTAACTAGTGTCATTACACTAGTAACTAGTGTCATTACATTAGTAACTAGTGTCATTACATTAGTAACTAGTGTCATTAAATTAGTAACTAGTGTCATTCCACTAGTAACAAGTGTCATTACATTGGTAACTAGTGTCATTCCACTAGTAACTAGTGTCATTACATTAGTAACTAGTGGATTTCATTAGTAACTAGTGTCATTAAATTAGTAACAAGTGTCATTACATTGGTAACTACTGTCCTTACATTAGTGACTAATGTCATTCCACTAGTAACAAGTGTCATTACATTGTTAACTAGTGTCATTCCACTAGTAACAAGTGTCATTACATTGTTAACTAGTGTCATTCCACTAGTAACAAGTGTCATTACATTGTTAACTAGTGTCATTCCACTAGTAACAAGTGTCATTACATTAGTAACTAGTGTCATTACATTAGTAACTAGTGTCATTACATTGGTAACTAGTGTCATTACATTGGTAACTAGTGTCCTTACATTAGTAACTAATGTCATTCCACTAGTAGGGCTGCAACAACGAATCGATAAATTCGATGAAAATCGATTACTAAAAGCGTTGGCAACGAATTGCGTCATCGATTCGTTGTGTCGCACAACTCTTCCAAAAGCGCCCCCCCTTCCCGCCCGCCGTTGCGCGCAGACCAGAGCAAGTCAGATCAGCGCGAGGGAGAGCCGCAGATCAGCGCGAGGGAGAGCCGGCAGATCAGCGCGAGGGAGAGCCGGTACCGGCAGATCAGCGCGAGGGAGAGCCGGTACCGGCAAATCAGCGCGAGGGAGAGCCTGCAGACTTTGTGCTGCTGCGAACGGGTTCCACATTGCTGCGCAGCGATCCAGGCAGCTGCTTCCAGTGCACGGTCCATTCTCAAAGTGGCGCAACCAAAAAACTATAATTAACACACGATCGTTCTTGTCTGCACATGTTCTCTATTTTCTATCTTATTTGTGCCTGAAGCGCGCTACTGCGGAGCTCATCACCTGTGCTGTGGTGATGTCACCTCACGCAGCATCGAAACGCACTCTGCGCTTTGCAGTCAGGAGATGATCTGCTCAAAAGTAACTGATGAGGTGAAAAGGTAAGAATCCAGGCAACAGATTTTCTGGAGAATTAAGAGGAGATGCAGGAAGATGAGAGACAGACAGGACAGGAAAATAGTTAAATAAAAACAAGAAAACAAAACAAAGTGTTGAAAAGTCAAATGTAGGTAGATTTATCTCCACTACACGTTTTTACCAGTAAAAAACAATAAGTTATACACATGTAATAATTATACATCTGATACAATTCAGATCACCTTCAAAACTCAGTCACACACCCAGGGCCGTTTCAAGACATTTTGGGGGCCAAGGCAAAACGGAACCCCCCCCCCCCCCACCCCCACCCCCCCATAACTGGGCTCCCCAGAAGCCTCTGTGTAATTCATACCCTCTCCAGGAGTGTTAGTTATACAGTGTTTATAAAAGCCCCTCAGACATTACTGACATGTTCTAATATTATCAGATGAAAAACTAAATTATCAGACATGCTGTCTCATCTGCTTCTTTTCTAAACTTGCTAAAAGTAACAAAACCATTTGAAAGCCACTATTTGTGGATTCTCTGAAAGTTTCCATGGAGTGTGTGACAACTTATGTTTTCATTGATCCTATCGTCTAATCTCACAGCTGAAACAAGCATCCTTAATAATCTGTGCACAGGAAGCTTACCGATGCTGTAGTAAAACAAAAGGTATAATAATTTATTATCAATAAAACCTTGTTGCAGCACTAAAGCATAAAAATGAGATTTTGCATTAAATATGCAAAATATTTACATATGAATTGTTTTAGAGCCCTTTTATTGGCAGAATCTGATATTAATTTAGTTCTTACAAAAAATGGGTCCCAACATGGTTTGTGTGGCGTTGCCATAGTGTGACGTCATAGGCACAGATCCCCTGTCCTCTTGTTTGGAAATGGAAATATGATCACCCTACATTAAACAAACTGTCCACCCGGGCTTTTGCGCTGCACAGAGACGCTTCGCTGCCTACGACTGAACGTCAGTTGAGAGTCAGTCTCATGCAGACTGACCAATGAAGAGAGGGCCTCAAGTTAAGACCCTCTCCTCATTGGTCAGTCCACACGAGGTGGGTCAAAGGTTACTCTGGGCGGGTTACGTGTTGTCAGGCATTCAAGTATTGAGTATATTTACTGCATATTACAGTAAAATATTCTGTATGTGACCATATTGTGGTGATCCTCGGGTCGTGATGATGGAGCCCTTGAATATTGTTGCCCAGGGTACAACAAAGTGTTAATCTGGCCCTGGTTCCGCCGTCACATTCCCGCAGAAACTGATTGATCACACCGGGGCCAGACTACTAGCATGTGGCTTTACAACCACAATGTCCTCAGAAGCAAAAACGCTTTTAAAAGGGAGGGAGGAGTCCTAACTGTTGCTGCAGGCGTGTTGTGTGAGAGTGCAGTTATATACTGGTTAATATATTTTTGGGTTCAGTTGCTTTCATGTGGCCTAATGTGAGTTTATTTGGGATCATTGGAATGATCAGCAGCATTTCTTGATGTGACTTTATGGCAGTTGCCCAGGGCATCATCGCAAGGAGGATGGCATTCATTTACTTTTGTTTTATTTGGTATTTTTTCAGTCATTTTTGGAAATAGTGATCAATTTTGATTAATTCACAGCCTATGTTTAATTACATTTAAAATAAATGTTAACAGATGAGCTCAAACAAAACAGATGAGAATTGCCCTTAAGCTGTTTAACTTGGACCAAGCATTTTAGGTCACAGATAGATGTAGCTTAGGGTCTCTGTCTATACACCTTATAAGACAATTTAGGTGATGGCATGTTGTTTTTCTGCTATTGAACTGTTTTCTAATAATGTTGTGTTAAATAAAGTGAAGGAAGGAGAGAAATAACGTTTCCCTAGCAGTTTTTAAAAAATTTCCCCATGTAATCCGATTAATCGATTAATCGTGTCGAGACCCCATCCGATTAATCGATTATCCAAATAATCGTTTGTTGCAGCCCTATCCACTAGTAACAAGTGTCATTACATTAGTACCTAGTGTCATTACATTAGTACCTAGTGTCATTACATCAGTAACTAGTGTCATTACATCAGTAACTAGTGTCATTACATTAGTTACAAGCGTCATTCCACTAGTAACAAGTGTCATTACACTAGTAACAAGTGTCATTACATTAGTAACTAGTGTCATTACATTAGTAACTAGTGTCATTACATTAGTAACTAGTGTCATTAAATTAGTAACTAGTGTCATTACATTGGTAACTAGTGTCATTACATTGGTAACTACTGTCCTTACATTAGAAACTAGTGTCATTCCACTAGTAACAAGTGTCATTACATTAGTAACTAGTGTCATTACATCAGTAACTAGTGTCATTACATCAGTAACTAGTGTCATTACAATAGTAACAAGTGTCATTACATTAGTAACTAGTGTCATTACATCAGTGACGTGTAATTCCACTAGTAACAAGTGTCATTACATTGGCAACTACTGTCCTTACATTAGAAACTAGTGTCATTCCACTAGTAACAAGTGTCATTACATTAGTAACTAGTGTCATTACATTAGTAACAAGTGTCATTCCACTAGTAACAAGTGTCATTACATTAGTAACTAGTGTCATTACATCAGTAACTAGTGTCATTACATTAGTAACAAGTGTCATTACATCAGTAGCTAGTGTCCTTAAATTAGTAGCTAGTGTCCTTACGTTTGTAACAAGTGTCATTCCACTAGTAACAAGTGTCATTACATTAGTAACTAGTGTCATTACATCAGTAACTAGTGTCATTATATTAGTAACTAGTGTCATTACATTAGTAATTAGTGTCATTACATTAGTAGCTAGTGTCATTACATCAGTAGCTAGTGTCCTTACATTAGTAGCTAGTGTCCTTACATTAGTAGCTAGTGTCCTTACATTAGTAGCTAGTGTCATTACATTAGTAGCTAGTGTCATTACATCAGTAACTAGTGTCATTCCACTAGTAACAAGTGTGAATCCACTTTGAGAAGAAAAAACTCTGATATCTACTTGAGAGGAATCGGGGGTATCAATCCCACACTCGAGTTCCTAGACAAAGGGGGGAAAGATTTGCGATTTAAACCTCCACTTGCCTAGATGCTGGGGTTTGAAGCTGATGAGTGGCTGACATTTGACTCTCAGCCCAGCGGGGCAAACATTGCAACAGCGCCTCATCCTTCCGATTTAAAGGCTGGTTTTTATCAACTATATTGTTACAGTGACATCGTTTCACAGCCAGTCGTAGGGGATTCTTATACGTCTGTATTAAATGGCCTGTATTTGATATAGCGCCTTCTAGAGTCCTGGAACCCCCCAAGGCGCTTTACAACACAATCAGTCATTCACCCATTCACACACACATTCACACACTGGTGGGGATGAGCTACAATGTAGCCACAGCTGCCCTGGGGCGCACTGACAGAGGCGAGGCTGCCGAGCACTGGCGCCACCGGTCCCTCCGACCACCACCAGCAAGCAATGTGGGTTAAGTGTCTTGCCCAAGGACACAACGACAGCGACAGACTGAGCAGGTCTCGAACCTGCGACCTTCCGGTTGCGAGGCGAGCACTTAACTCCTGTGCCACCGTCGCCCCACGTACTGTGAAAATTGAAGGTACTTTTGGTGATAACATCACCCATGTGTTAAACCCTCCAAACTATCTACCGGTGGCCACAAACCATATAGAAAACATTCAAATTGAAATTAAATTTGATCAAAATAAACTGGTCAACTTTTGATACAGAAAAACCATCGTAACGCTTCATTTTCACCCTGGAACATAACCCCGGCAAAACGTCAGTTACACACTTTTACACTGGGCAGTGTACATCTTATGATTTCACACAGTTGCCACAAAAATGGTTTACCCACTGGTGAGAAATGACCCAAACCGGTTTATTAAATATTATGTAAGCCAGACCGGAGGTAGCCTCCCAGGGTTCAGCGGGCAAAGCGTAATGTACGGAAGAGAGGTGGGATCGTTTCTGCACGACTAGATTCTTCTCATCCTTTGTCAAAAAAGGTTTTTCCCTCGCAAAGTTGCATTGGTCCCTCGCTACTTCGCGGTTCGTTTATCGCGGATTCACAACTTCGCGGATTTTTTCCTTTGGAGCCTTATTCCAGGGAAATTCGCTGATTCGTGGTATTTTTCTATGCGAAATATCAAGAAATTCCTGTTTTTTTCATCAATTTCATCATAAAATGCACTTTTTGTAATAAACCTATAAAAAAACCAAGTAAAAATACAGTACTATGTAACGGGAGGGTTTTAAAAGTCTGAATACTGAATACGTACCTGTTAAAGAAAAACTGTAAATATGGTGTCCCTACTTCGCGGATTTTCACCTATCGCGGCCAGGTCTGGAATGCATCTACCGCGATAAACGAGGGATCACCTGTAATGCACTATTTATCACATGATGTCTTTGTTTACAGAACGAGATGATTAAACAGATTTGCTGTGTGCTGTTGAGTTTTCTGATGTTTTCCGTCTTGAACAGATGTGACTCAGGAAATAAATGAAGTAAAGCAAGTTGCAGATGCAGCCAACTCCACAGCCTCGCTGGTCAACAACCTGCTGCGACCCATCAAAGAGCAGCTAGAGCAGTGGCAGCAGGTGTACGGAGACGCCAATTCCACCAACGTGGACCTGAACAATGCCCTGATGGATGCCAACAGCACCGGTAGGACTCTGTGACATCATCACACACCTCTAAACTTCCTTTCCTCGTCCCTGAATTCTTGGGATTTGTGAAACTGCTGTTCCGGCTATGCTCCAAACTTTCTCCATGTCTATTTCTTGATTTTAATTGAGGATGTAGTAACTCAGATTCAGATGTTTAACAACCAGAAGTGACTTAAATCTTCCACTGCAGTGAACAGGCTAGGTGAAACCATTCCTGTGCTGATGCAGAAACTGGATGACCTTCAGAATCACTCAGTCCAGATGCCCAACATCTCTGAGAACATCAGTCGGATTAGACAGCTCATACAGCAAGCGCGCAGCGCCGCCAGCAAGGTGCCCGTGTTTCCATCACTTACCATTTAAACCCACAAGGCCTCCAAAGCTAAAAGCTCCTCCTTGTCTCACCATCCAGGTCCGGGTGTCTGTGAAATTCAATGGGCAGTCGGGCGTTCAGGTGCGTACGCCATCCAACATGGCCGACCTGGCTGCCTACACCTCTCTGAAGTTCTACATTACACTGGCTGATGCAGTGCGGCGGCGACGGCAGGACAGCATCACCAAACAGTTTGTCTTCTACCTTGGCAACAGAAATGTAAGCATCACCAGAATATGACTTCATACGCTGGTTTAACGCTGACCTCAATAGAAACTCACCTGTCGCTGACAGCTCCCTAAACAGCCTCTGTTTAGAGAAATAGCGTTAGCGTCCAAGAGGACGGATGAGGAGGCCAGAGTGCGTCGCTGCCCTCAGAGAGTTTGTGTGATGTTTTGTTTATCTTTGACCCGTTGTCCGTTTGACTCACCGTACGGTTAGCTCAGCAGAACGAATGCAACGTGAAGCTGACAGTTTTCATCTGCTGTAAGATTCTAGCAAGAAACTACGACTAGCTGTTAGCTCATCAATCCTGAGCAAAACAGTTTTTCTGAGCAGAGTCTGTTCAGGGCGCTGTAAGAGATCAGAGATCGGTTTCACACAGAAACACGCTGAAACTGAAACATCCACGTGAGGCGCCTTGTGAGGTGACTAACCGTCAGTGTCCTGTTAAATATTCTGTGGAATCTGTAGTCCAGTAAGGAGTACATGGGAATGGCTCGGGAAGGGAAGCGGCTGCTGTGGTATTTTAATGTTGGAGGAGACACGGCTCAGGCGCTGATGAAGGAAGATGTTCTGTCAGATGGAAACTTCAACGAGGTCTTCCTGGAGAGGTAAAGCACACGAGCAGAACCTCGAAACCCAAAATAAATCAGAACTGGAACCAAAGCATTTTCCTTTGCTTTGTTAAACTAAAATCACGTTTAAAGTTTCATCCAACTTTTGTCATCTGAACTTTTGTATTAACCTTGTTTTAGTTTGGATATTTTCTTCTTTTAAACGCGTCAACATAAAATCAGAAATGTCTGACTGACCCTAGGATCCTCCAGTACGGTCAGATGTCCATGTCCTCCATCACCGACAGCGTCAATGAGGTCACCAAGGCCAGCGTGGTTGCTGGTGGAGACGAGGGGCTGCTGGGCCTCCTGAGCAGCGACACTGTCTTCTACGTGGGGGGGTACCCCAGCAGTTTCACCGTAAGTGAAATTTAGAGGAGAAAAACTTGTTGGCTAGGGTCTTAGCCAAAAAGATCAAAGTCATGGAGGGGGGCACGCACAGAAGGATTCATTATTTTGGCCCTTTCTAGCCTGGCGACCCATCCCATAAATGTGAATCTCTAGTCTGGCCATGACCCAGAACCCAGAACTCAGTCGTGGGGTGGAATTTCTTTCAAACTGTCTCCACATGCTGTTGGACGACCAACATCACGACGCTCTCACCGCTACAGGCGTCAGCTAACCATACGCTGATGAACGAGACACAAACAAATCGTTTTTCAAAATAAAGGACTTAAGTACCTCTATCTGTTCCTCACTCAAAGACAAGCCCAAATCTAAATTTTATATATATATATATATATATATATATATCAATTCAATCAATTCAATTCAAAAATACTTTATTAATCCCAGAGGGAAATTGATTATATATACACATACACACATACATATACACACACTTTATAATAATCTGACACAAAGACAAAAAATATAGTTTATAGAAATCAATTTATTACTATATAAATGATGATGAAAGGCTAATGATTATAAATGGTGACACAGTGATGTTAAATGAGACAATGAATGAACTCTGATGAAACATGACCTGGTGTGTTTAAGAGCTTTCTAAGTGACTCAGAAAGGTGTGATGTCTGGTTTATAGAATACATTTGGATGTAAATTAGTTATCAGATTAATATCAACCACTCTGACGCCATTGTGTAGTCTACACACCCTGGATCACGGAAGCTCCGGAGGTCCGGTCTGCAGGTGAAGCCGTCTCTCGGAGCGAGTGAGTGGACTTCTGATGCATCCGAAGGTCGACACCTTCAGATGGGCTTATTGTGGTTGGTTTCACGTCTGATGAGTGGGTGGTGGATTGAATAAATAATTGTTGATTCAAAAGGACGGTTCATGTGCTGCCAAAGTTATTCCACTGAAACATCTGGTTGATCCCCCACAGGATGGTCATTTAGCATGAGCTGTGAGCGTTGGCTGAACTCGGAGCTCTGGCAGAAATGCCTAAAACAGGGAGTGAGTTCACTTTTAATGAAATGGTTATTTATAAACTGACCAACCAGATGTGAGAAATATGTTTACCAAGACCCTCAGCCCCTCCCCTTTCTGTGACGCTTAGAAAGATTACTTCACTTTATACATGGAGCAGGTCTGTTAAACAGTCATTTGATAATACTCTGATATTACTATGTGGATGTCACTGATAATTGATTAATGATTAAATCACTTTAGATAGAACATTCATTGTAGATAAAACAGAATATGATTGTAAACCTGTAGGTTGAAGGAAATCATTTACTAAGGAGTAAAAGTCTCGTCTTCTGCGTGGACCTTGGGGTTGCAGCTCAGGTAAGGGAGTCAGGAGGAGGAAGTTGTTATGGCTACCTTCTGGAGGGTGCTGCTAGGGATGGTTAAGCATGGAGGTGTTTTGGTGCAGGGAAGAACACGACAGTCCTAGCAGAGGAAGCTGCTGGACACCCGACTGTCTGTGTGACCTCTGACATTGCTGTGGACAAATAACCTTGGCCTTTCACAACATTACAAAAATAACAACACAGCACCAAAAAGTTAAGGAGTTGAGATATGCGTCCAGGCTGGAGATCGCTTCAGAGAGAGAAACGCTCTGGTGTCTGTGCTTCAGTGGTTCCCAATCTGGGGTCCCCACAAGGTTGTCGGTGCTAAGATAGAGGTTACCAAGATTGTACATAAAGTCCAGATAACATACCCTCTAGTACAATCAATACTCTGTAAGAGGCCTAACGCTAGTCTGTAAGTATTCATCTGTAGGTATGTGCATGCGAGTAAGAGTTTGGGTTGGGAGGCCCCGGCTTGTCTCACAGGAAAGGGGGTCCTCGTGAAAAAAGGTTGGGAACCACTGCAGATGTCCAGCTAAGGCCCATCAGGTTGGAGAACATTGATCTTGTGTGTGTTCGAGCGCCTGCCGTGATGCAGCTCTACTCCTGTTTTTAATGGAAGACGACAGACAAACAAAGTCTTTTTACGTATAATATGTTTCTGTAATCTGTGAGGTCACAGCAGGCCAGACAGGAAGTTGTTACATATCCATGATCTGATGCTGATTAAAGGGAATAAGACCAGGAAGTGCTGCAGTGATGTTTTATCTCGTTCTTAACTGTTCCAGCCACCTTCTCCACTTTCATTGTCTAACTTCACGGGAGGCATTGAGCTGGACACGCTGAACGAGGACGTGATCAGTCTGTATAACTTTGAAAACACCTTCCAGCTCAACACTACCGCACAGAAACCTTACGGCAGGTAAGAGCAATCTCTCTCTGAGGCTCTGCAGCAGATTCCTGCCTGCTCAGCACTTCCTCATGTTGTGAATTCCTCTTCAGGTCCAAGTCCAAGCAGCCTCAGGCCTGGGTGAACGACGCAGCATATTTTGATGGAACTGGTTTTGCTGAGATCACGTTTAACAGTGAACAAATTAACCCTCGCTTCGAGATGGAAATCAAACTGCTCTCACATAAAGGAATTCTCTTCCTGTTGCAAAAGGAGGTAATCACATCCATCATTCCTGGTTTGATTTCCAGACGAGCAGAGCTCCACCGTCCTAGACCTGCTTCTGGTTTTATGTTTGGACCATCCAGCCAGTCCAGTGCAGACCCACGCTAGACGTCTCATCCCTACAGCTCATTCCAGTTAGATTCCCCGTTCCTCTTCTACAGATCCAAGATGGCCGTGTGCTGCAGCAATAATAATAATAATAACTAGTACAGGATTAAGTTTCCTGAATCTGAGCCTCCTTGAAGAGCTTAACAAAACCATAATGATACTTTTCTTGAGGTGCTGAAATGTTTTTGCCTTCCATATCTGTCAGGGCTCACCTGTAAGACTCACCTGAATCTGTGACTCCGATCTGTCTGCTTTGTGACTATTACTGTAGCTGTAAGTGTTAATCCTCCCACCAGGACAAGTTCCTGTGTCTGGCAGTGCTTCAAGGACGACTGAAGGTCTACTATGACTTTTACGGGACCTTGGTGGATGCTGAGCCTGAACCATTGCGAGACCTGACGATGAGTGATGGACAACCCAAATCAGTGAGTCTGCTGGTTTCTACAGAGGACATGTGGACAGTTGGGTTCTGTCTCTCATTGTATCACAGCGGCACCTGGTTCTGGTCACACCTCTGACTAACTGGACCCCTGCTGTTTGGTTCTGGAGGAGCTCAAGTGAGCTGGAGGTTTGACTCCTGCAGCAGCAGAACCTGAAATCAGCCCTCCACAATATGAGTCTTGAACATTTAATTCAGTAAAGGTCCTTCAGCTGAAAGAGTATCTTAATTATTACAACCTGATTTGAATAATAAAGTCTCCATAGTTCTTTTACACAAGGCATTATGGGTAATTTAGCTGTGTGTGTTTTGGCATCATCACAGAGATGTCAGAATGCTGCTTATTAATAAAAACATTCATCATTGATTTTGGGGGGTTGTCCACTTGTTTCCTGCTGTGAAGCTGGTGGTTATCTTCCTGACGTCCCGGAACTCCATCGTGGTCAGACACGCTCAGGTGAACCTCTTCCTCATCCGGCTGGCGGCTACGATCCCTCAGTTCGGTGACAACTACTACCTGGGAGGGGTACCAGAGCGACACGTCCCTGTGAGGTGTGTAAAGAACCCAGTTAGTCGTGACATTCGTGTGTGTGAGGAGAAAACATGAAACTGTTTAGTTCTTTTTGGTTTGTCACTTAGCTTGAAGAGCCTGTTTGTGAGGCAGAGGTCTGTGAGGGGCTGCTTCAGGAACGTGAAGGCCAGCAGTGGCTACATCAACCTGAGGACCATGAACTCCACGGGTGTCAGCTTTGGCTGCAACAGTGACCTGCTGGTGAGAAAACACAGTTCGGCATCTTCTGTCAGTCCAAGTCCAACCCCCAAATGTGTTAGTGGAGCTGAAGCATTATAGACAGTTAAAGGTGACTGAGGGGAAGGAGGGGTGGACAGGTGGACAACATGTGGATCCAGTCTAACTGGACCTGCAGGACTTGAACTTACTGAAGCTGCAAATCAAATTCAGATTCAAAGATACTTTATTAATCCCAGAGGGACATTAGAGTTTCAGTGCACACAATTCAGAGATCAGACATACATGGGCAAGAATTGGTGACTGTGGTCATTCGCAACCCTGAGTCGTGCTACCTTATGGGAGATAAGAGGGGTTACATGAGGATTGGTTCAGGTAGAGGGAAAAAAGGCACTTCACAGTTACCCTCCACCGGGAGGGCAGCTTTGCTCTACAAATAACACCTCAGACAGATATGCAACAGACTTCAGACATCACAACATACTCGTGCTGACCTGCTGTGTCTGTTGCAGGTGGCTCGTGAGGCTTATTTCAGCGGTCAGAGCTACCTGGACCTTAACCTGACGAGTGTCTCCAGTCTGAAAAACAACTTCTATGCCAGTTTCAGCTTTAGGACAGAACAAACAAAGGGGCTGATGTTCTACCATCACGATCAGGTAAGATGCCTCCTCAGGAAGCTGTTACCTATCATGCTTGTGGTCCTGGTTCCTCCCTGAGCTTCTGCTGATGTTTTCCTGTTGCTGCAGCAGGGAGACATCTGTCAGGTGTATCTGCATCAGGGCTACATCGTGGTAAGAGTAGGCAACAATGAGATAAGGACTCAGAAGACGTACAACGACAACAACAGTCACAACGTTGCTATTTACAACAACATGAACGGGTAGGGCGGCCGGTGCTCAGGTGAGTCTGAGCTGCTGATTGTTTGCTGACAGACGTGTCCTGCTGCAGGATTCGACTGTACATGGATGATGTGCTGGAGAAGGTGACCGGAGGCAGTCAGCCGAGCACCAGGGCGGCAGGTGTTAGTACCCCTGAAGGAAGCACCTTCCTGGGAGGGATGCCTAATGCAATGGTTGCTAACCTGACCGGATGTCTCAGGAATGTCTTCATAAAGAGGTTAGAACGACCCGCTAACCTGTAGTCGGCACTGACATCTCCACGTCTTTATGGAGCAACAAAACATAAGATTCTCAAATATATGGTAACATGCAGCTAGTGGCCGTGAAGACGTCTCTGACTGCGTAACGGGCAGTGTTGGCAGTAACATTACAAAAGTAACAAATTACTGTAATGCATAGATTTTTTGCTGTAACATAGTAATGTAATTACTTGGTACACTGTCAGTAACGCGTGTTACAATGCATTTCTAACCTGGTTTTGTACCTAGCTAGTCATCATTTACATGTGAAAATACATGCAGAGCAGAATCAGGAGCCTGCTGGCTTGGGAGTACACAATGCTCAGCTTAAGGAGCAATGACACTACTTTTATACATATTCTTAATATTAACACATTTCTTATCCGTGTGCTTCCTGAAAACGTGATGTTTTGGGGCAGATAAAGTAAATAAATTGTGGTTATTGACACATTTTATCTGAACACATTTGAGACAAATCATTTAAGGTCATAGTTTGCCAAGAGTGGTTTTTTCTGCTCCCTGGTTTCTAATTACAGGTCACATTCATTTTTTAACCAGTAGAATAATAGTTTGAGGCAGGGGTCACAAACCTAATGTCTGTCAGCACCAAGGTGCCCACAGGAGCCCTAAATGGTGCCCTCAGGCTTGTTATGAGACTAAAACATGGAGACAGAGATGGCTTACAGAAATGTGGGAACAACAGAAACACAAAGCTTATGATTCCTACAATGAAGCTCTGGGAAAAAGTGGTGAAAGCTAGGGTAATGTCAGGGAGGTGTGAGACAGTGATGAGGTGTGAGACAGTGATGAGGTGTGAGACAGCAGTGAGGTGTGAGACAGCAGTGAGGTGTGAGGCAGCAGTGAGGTGTGAGACAGTAGGGAGGTGTGAGATAGCAGTGAGGTGTGAGATAGCAGTGAGGTGTGAGACAGCAGTGAGGTGTGAGACAGTGATGAGGTGTGAGACAGCAGTGAGGTGTGAAACAGTGATGAGGTTTGAGACAGCAGGGAGGTGTGAGACAGCAGTGAGGTGTAAGACAGTGATGAGGCGTGAGACAGCAGGGAGGTGTTAGACAGCAGGGAGGTGTGAGACAGTGATGAGGTGTGAGACAGCAGTGAGGTGTGAAACAGTGATGAGGTGTGAGACAGCAGGGAGGTGTGAGACAGCAGTGAGGTGTAAGACAGTGATGAGGTGTGAGACAGCAGGGAGGTGTGAGACGGCAGTGAGGTGTGAGACGGCAGTGAGGTGTGAGACAGTGATGAGGTGTGAGACAGCAGGGAGGTGTGAGACAGTAGGGAGGTGTGAGACAGTAGGGAGGTGTGAGACAGCAGTGAGGTGTGAGACAGCAGGGAGGTGTGAGACAGCAGGGATGTGTGAGACAGTAGGGAGGTGTGAGACAGCAGTGAGGTGTGAGACAGCAGTGCGGTGTGAGACAGTAGGGAGGTGTGAGACAGTAGGGAGGTGTGAGACAGCAGGGAGGTGTGAGACAGCAGGGAGGTGTGAGACCGTAGTGAGGTGTGAGACCGTAGTGAGGTGTGAGACAGCAGTGAGGAGGGAGACAGTGATGAGGTGTGAGACAGCAGGGAGGTGTGAGACAGCAGGGAGGTGTGAGACAGCAGGGAGGTGTGAGACAGTAGGGAGGTGTGAGACAGCAGTGAGGTGTGAGACAGCAGTGAGGTGTGAGACAGCAGGGAGGTGTGAGACAGCAGGGAGGTGTGAGACAGCAGTGAGGAGGGAGACAGCAGTGAGGAGGGAGACAGTGATGAGGAGGGAGACAGTGATGAGGTGTGAGACAGCAGTGAGGTGTGAGACAGCAGGGAAGTGTGAGACAGCAGGGAGGTGTGAGACAGCAGGGAGGTGTGAGACATCAGTGAGTTGTGAGACAGCAGTGAGTGGTGAGACAGCAGGGAGGTGTGAGACATCAGTGAGTTGTGAGACATCAGTGAGTTGTGAGACATCAGGGAGTTGTGAGACAGCAGGGAAGTGTGAGACAGCAGGGAGGTGTGAGACAGCAGGGAGGTGTGAGACAGCAGGGAGTTGTGAGACATCAGTGAGTTGTGAGACATCAGGGAGTTGTGAGACATCAGGGAGTTGTGAGACAGCAGGGAAGTGTGAGACAGCAGGGAGGTGTGAGACAGCAGGGAGGTGTGAGACAGCAGTGAGTTGTGAGACATCAGGGAGTTGTGAGACATCAGTGAGTTGTGAGACAGCAGTGAGTTGTGAGACATCAGTGAGTTGTGAGACAGCAGGGAGGTGTGAGACATCAGTGAGTTGTGAGACATCAGTGAGTTGTGAGACATCAGGGAGTTGTGAGACATCAGGGAGTTGTGAGACAGCAGGGAGGTGTGAGACAGCAGGGAGGTGTGAGACAGCAGGGAGGTGTGAGACATCAGGGAGTTGTGAGACATCAGGGAGTTGTGAGACATCAGGGAGTTGTGAGACATCAGGGAGTTGTGAGACAGCAGTGAGGTGTGAGACAGCAGTGAGGTGTGAGACATCAGGGAGTTGTGAGACAGCAGGGAGTTGTGAGACAGCAGTGAGGTGTGAGACAGCAGTGAGGTGTGAGACAGCAGGGAGGTGTGAGACAGCAGGGAGGTGTGAGACAGCAGTGAGTTGTGAGACATCAGGGAGTTGTGAGACATCAGTGAGTTGTGAGACAGCAGTGAGTTGTGAGACATCAGTGAGTTGTGAGACAGCAGGGAGGTGTGAGGCATCAGTGAGTTGTGAGACATCAGTGAGTTGTGAGACATCAGGGAGTTGTGAGACATCAGGGAGTTGTGAGACATCAGGGAGTTGTGAGACAGCAGGGAGGTGTGAGACAGCAGGGAGTTGTGAGACATCAGGGAGTTGTGAGACATCAGGGAGTTGTGAGACATCAGGGAGTTGTGAGACAGCAGGGAGGTGTGAGACAGCAGTGAGTTTCCTGTGGCTCAAAGTGAAGTAGCTGAAAGGCTGCTGACCCTGCTGTAAGCACCATGCTGCTGCTGTGGGTTCAGATAGGAACCAACCTGAGTGAGAATGCAGTAACATCACTATTGATGCTCAAGGGCCCAATTACACATTCTGTGGGCTCTTGGTAAGGATTAGTGACCCGCACTTGTGTAGTGATGTGTCGTTCGTGAACAAAACAACAGGAGGGGGAGGAGGGGGAGATAAAATGGGAGGACATGAGTTAAAGCAGGAAATGCAGCCAGATTTGGACACATTTACCAATAATGACAATTGAAAGGAAGAGTGTGGACAATACAAAGCAAAAATATGTATTTCTTTATTGTGTGATTATCTTAGATTTGAAGTTGTTTACCTGTAAACAGTTAAAGGGGCATTATGGAAGTTTGACAGCCAAAGCATGTATAGAAATAATAAATGTCTTCTTCATACATTCTCCTGCAATGCCCTGGTCCTGTAGAATGAGCCCTGGCATTTTTACTGTGATTGCCTGTTTTTCTGTAAAATCACAGAAAAAGAGAGATGCTCGGGTCGAGCAGGCTGCTTCATGCGCGTTCACGCTCAGGCATCGCCCGTAGCATTTGCTATCCGTAGCTTTAGCAGCAGAGAGAGAGGCAGTGCCACTTTGTCGCTGTTCCTAACGCCTAGTGACAAAGCTAGCTACATTTCTGAGGACCCTTAGCTACTTTCTGTAGAACTTTCTTCTAGATATTTCCTGCAAATTAGCTACAAAACAGCCATTTTCACTCTGAACCGTCCTTTGGATTGATGTTTCAGCTGTCATCAAGGATATAAATGTTACAGATACATCACATGTTACTGGTGCTTTGGCTCACAAAGTAAGATGTCTGACTCTCATGCAGAAGACCTGGGTTTGATTCTGGGTGTGAACAAAGTTAGTTATTTAATAGAGTTTATTTTTTACATTAATGGTATATTTTTTTACAGTAAGATGCCCAAATTTTTATTTGAGACTCGCCGAACGGCATTGAATTCACAGATAAAAAAGATGTGGGTTCAACTTTCATTTTGGAACAATTTTTCAAGCAAGGGAAGGGAATGATCTGAGCATGCAGGAGGACTGACCCATCATAAACCTTTGTCGGCTGTGCTGAAGAGAAAGGTACAGAACCAAATTATTTAATCAATTAGCTGCACGTCCTCCTGTCCTCTGGGCCACACACACACACACACACACACACACGGGACTGTCTCAGTTGTTATTTTCGTTAAGAAGTGTGCACGTACAGCATGCGCGCCTCGTGCACGAGCCTACTATTGAAGCTGCCATTACGCTTTTGGCCTGAGGGGGCAATGGCGAGCATAAAAATTCAAAAGTCCGAAAAGTCCCTTTAAGTCTACGGTGATGGGACTCGATTAAAAAATTATCAGTCCAAGCAAGGCAGTTATCTTCTGTTTTAGTAGCAGAGCACGGCTGCTTTGTTGTGAGTGTCAGTAAAATGGGCGTAGCCAGAAATCGTGCTTTGTTTCTTCTTTGAGAGAACAGCAGCTTAGACACCTACAAGGCGTATTGGTGCCACCTCCACAAATAATAGACGCCCACCTGCTAAACCCGGTCATACGCCCCCACAGCTCGTAAGAAGTCCAGCAACAACTGCACTCGCCGTCTGTCCTGCACCTCCGTCTGGAGGCTGTAAGCGCTCACCCCACACTGCCCCAGCATCCCAAACAGGGTGCGCCGCTCGCCCCATACCTCTGGCACAAAGTGTGTGTGTGTCTTCATGTAGGCTAGGAACATTCCACCTGCCGTGGCCCGACCGCTTCTGCTCCACATAAACTTTGTGCGTGATCAAATGTCTCTACAGGAGCTTTCTGAGCTGAAGAGGCTATTCTGCCTCAGACTGGATGCGTCATGCGTCTCCATATTAGAGACGGGAACAAGCGCTGTTCAGCCAAAGTTTCATAATCAGAACATTTTTCCAAGTGACACATCCCTCAGAGAGACCGGCTTTCCAGACCGCTTCAGTGGGAGGAAATCTTACCGCATGCGCCGTGGTTCTGCACTGCGCTGCGAACCCCTCTACAGTAGGGCTGCAACAACAAATCGATAAATTCGATGAAAATCGATTACTAAAAGCGTTGGCATCGAATTGCATCATCGATTCGTTGTGTTGTGCAACTCTTCCAACACCTGGGGGGGGGGTGTTGGAAGAGTTGCACAACACCCGTCCGCCGTTGCGCACAGACTGGAAGCAAGTCGGATCAGCGCGAGGGACTAGCCGGCAGAAGCAGCGAGACCCAAAAAAGTAAAAACTTCTAAAGTTTGGGAGCATTTTCAGTTAAATCAGGCGAAGAAATTCGTTACCTGCAACGTTTGTAGGTCAGACTTAGCATGGCACGGGAGTACTACAGTGATGATGCGAATCATCAGCGAGGAAGGAGAGAACTCTGTGTCCGGGTAAGTTAAAAACTTTTCAAAAGTGATTCACCCAAGTCCCGGATTATTACACAGGCTAGACATGCCCTAAGCTCGTAAAAAAAGAGTCTATAAAATCGTAAGCGCGACGCTATTAGATTAAGGGGGGGGGGGGGGGGGGGGGGGGCCTCACGCTGCTGCGAACCGGTTCCGCCATCACATTCCCACAGAAACTGGTTGACTACACCGGGGCCAGACTACTAGCACCACAATGTCCTGAGAAGCGAAAACGCTTTTAAAAGGGAGGGAGGAGTCCTAACTGTTGCTGCAGGCGTGTTGTGTGAGAGTGCAGTTATATACTGGTTAATATATTTTTGGGTTCAGTTGCTTTCATGTGGCCTAATGTGAGTCTATTTGGGATCATTGGAATGATCAGCAGCATTTCTTGATGTGACTTTATGGCAGTTGCCCAGGGCATCATCGCAAGGAGGATGGCATTCATTTACTTTTGTTTTATTTGGTATTTTTTCAGTCAGTTTTGGAAATAGAGATTAATTTTGATTAATTCACAGCCTATGTTTAATTACATTTAAAAATTAATTGTTTGACATCCCCAGTTATAATAAATGTTAACAGATGAGATCAAACAAAACAGATGAGAATTGCCCTTAAGCTGTTTAACTTGGACCAAGCATTTTAGGTCACAGATAGGTGTAGCTTAGGGTCTCGGTCTATACACCTTATAAGACAATTTAGGTGATGGCATGTTGTTTTTCTGCTATTGAACTGTTTTCTAATAATGTTGTGTTTAATAAAGTGAAGGAAGGAGAGAAATAACGTTTCCCTAGCAGTTTTTAAAAATGTCCCTATGTAATCCGATTAATCGTGTCGAGACCCCATCCGATTCATCGATTATCCAAATAATCGTTTGTTGCAGCCCTACTCTACAGATCTTCAGCTCACTGTCCACCGTGGGCGCTGCGATCCACGCTGAGCACAGTGTCCAGTATAAAGCTCTGATGTTCTGATGGGAATCTTTTCTTGATGGATTTAGTTACCTCCGCGATGTGCGTAACGATTAAAATGTCAGCTCATCTGTGTGCGCATCAGTGTGCGTTGGGGTAATTCTTTCAAAACAACCAACATCCTTGAGTTTATCCGTCAAAATAAAAGTCAAACGTAAATATCTGTAGCCTGCCATTTAACTGTTTTGCCTTCTTGTGAAGATTGTTGCAAAGAGAAACAACTAAACCTGATTAACCCCAGAGCCAAGCGCACTGCGCTGTACTTCTGACTGTAAATGAGGGGAAACGATATAATCGGATCCTTTTCTTTTCAACATGGTTTCATGTAAAGTTTCATTCAGTACAAACTTTAGTTACACCGATCTAACGAGACAGAGCCTGGATTTGTATTCTGAACAGTTTAAACATGTTTAAAACGGAGACATGCGTGACGCGTCTAAAATCCGCACCTGCTCCGCTATTATGGAAATTTAACTAACAAGATGGATAACATCCAATTATTTTAGGCACAGACGACATCCCCCACACTTTTGAAGATCTTGCAACGCGCCTGAACACATCTGATATGTTTGATTTAGCAAAGAATCCCTTCTGTAGACGCAGAGGGCGGCTGGGAAAACATTTCAAACTAATATAATAATAAAATAATAAAGTTTTCTGGTGATAAATGAATTTAAAAATAAAAAATGTGAGGAGCTGTTTGAGAGCCGGAAGAGCCGATTCATTTTAGTGAGCCGAGCTGTAAGAACCAGTTCAGTTCAATAATACTTTGTTAGTCCCAGAGGGAAACTGATTAGTTAGAGCTGGAGTTCCCATCACTGGGGTCACTGCTGGCCTGTGATACCAGTGCCCCATACACTGGCACTACTGGTTACTGAGATGGTTGGTGGTCTTTACGTGCGTTTAAAAGAATTGCAGCTTGTGTTTATTTCTGATGTTTATTTATTTGTCTTCTTCCACAAAGTCATGATCCATTCACTGCAGTTAAAGTGGTTTTCATTGAATACGTTGCTTACCCCATGACAGTCCGCAGAGTCTGTTACACACAGCCACACCCGAGTCTCATCTGCGTTGGCTTAAGTAGGCTGGTGCTTCCACAACCAGTTTACCAATCAAATGAGGCCAAGCCTCCTCTCAGGTATGCAGAAAGAAAATGAAAACAGCACATGTGAGCTCCTACACGACCCTTCAGAGTCAGACGACTCCAAAGAGCTTTACACTGCAGCGTATCATTCACACGCTGGTGGTGATGAGCTACGATGTAGCCACAGCTGCCCTGGGGCGCACGGACAGAGGCGAGGCTGCTGAACACAGGTGCCACCAGTCCCTCCGACCACCACCTGCAGGCAAGGTGGGTTAAGTGCCTTGCCCAAGGACACAACAGCAGAATTCTCTGTCTAGAGCCAGGATTGAACCTTCCGATTGCTGGACAACCCGCTCTACCTCTTGAGCTGCTGCTGCTGCCCCGATAACACAGAGCCAAACGTTACATTTAGGAAGGTGGACTTTTCCAGGGGGGGATTCAGTGTTTTGAATTTAAAATTTACATGTTTGCAAAAACATTTGAGCCACGCCTGCCAAACCGGCGGACTGACTCACGCAGGACAGTTTTGAACCACGTAGGACAATGTCCTCACGAGTGGGTACTGTGGTGACCTCTGACCTTTACATATCATACATGTTTTTATTGTGTCATTGATCTGTTGAAATAATTTAAATAAAGAACCATCAATGTGATTTTCTGAAAAATTCAGAAGCAAAGTGCCTTTGTTCATAAAACAAACCTACATGATGGAGATCACTGACGGGTAACGTCATTTCAGTGGAGTGCAGCCTTCCTGTTCACGTCTGTGAGATGACCTGCCGTTCGGTCCAGATTCAGACATGTTTTAATAAAACGAAGTGTATGTTTTTGGTCTGATCCTCATGTGCAGTGACACCAGTGTTCAGGCGGTTCTCAACCTGATGAAAGCCAACGAAAACGTCAATGTTCCTCTGGTGTGTCCTGCTGCTAAGAAACCTCAGCAGATCATTGCCGAGCCGTCCAAACGCAGTAACAAGCCCAAGGTACCTCACAGGAGGCCAGCTCAGCATTTTCCAGAAGAAAAAGAAAACAGTTCTGATCGGAGTTCTCTCCACCTCCCTCTCAGGGTAGACACAGGAAACCAGGATCTCTCAGTCGGAACACCAGGGAGTCCTGTCCAGGTGAGCTGCCGCTCTCTGAAAGCCGAGCAACCCACTTCAGCGGCTCCACCCTCAGCTACCACCGATACCATCCAGTACCTAGCTCAGTGTGAGTGTGAACACCATCAGCTGCTTCCTCCACATGTTGGTTTCTGACATCAGAGTCATGAAACAGTGTGTACCTGTTCCATATGACACAGGTGTACAGGTGCTTACCTTCATCCATGAAAACAGGATTTTAATTACCTTTCCTGCAGGCTTCATGTCTCCTTAGCGCTGAAGATATCCTCTGATGGTTGTGTGCTCTACGCCACCGGAAAGCAGCGTGACAAAGCAGTGATGTCACTCAGCATCTCCAATGGCCTCCTGCAGCTTTCATTAGACACAGAGAATAAGAAAGTTGTGCTGCAAAGCAAAAACAAATACAATGATAACCGATGGCATACGGTAAGGTCTCACACACACACACACACACACACACACGCATGTCTACGTCAGTCATTTTTATTACGTTGTGAAATAATTTTAGTAATTTTCGCTGGCTTTGTCGGTGGTGCAGTCCCACTAGTCAAGGCTCTAGTCCCAACAGAAGTGCATGTTTATCAAGTTTTCATGTTTTGGTTAAAATGGAAGAAAAAATGATAACGTACTGAATATTATAAAGTGACAGAACTAAAAACAGGGTAGAGTGTAATGCTGTGTGTGTGTTTCTGCAGGTTTTCATAAAGCATGAAGGAAAGAGGCTAAGTCTGATTGTGGATGGGATCAGCACCCAAACTCAGAGAATACCAGAAATCTCCAAGACCCGCTTCACAGGACCTCTATATATCGGAGGAGTCCCAGCCTCAGTCACAGTAAATATTATAATAGTTTAACTAATTTATGCTGCTGAAGGTTCTCGATCATCCGGGTCATGGTAATCCAAAGGGGTTCAAATGAAGGCAACTGGACTTGTTAGGGTTTCTTGAAGACGTTTCGCTTCTTATCCAGGGAGCTTTGTCAATTCTGAAAGCTCCTCGGATGAGAAGCGAAACGTCTTCAAGAAACCAAAGAAGTCCAGTTGCCTTCATTCAAACTCTGTTGGTTTAAGTACTTTAGGTTGTTACCTTTCCTCATCCTTTTCACTTTTTTCACCTGTGATGCAAATTCCCATCTCATCCTTCCAAGCGTGGGTCCTCTACCAGAGGCCTGGGAGCTGGGTTATTGCCCCGAGTGCCTCGATGACCACGGGCACCTCGATGACCCTCTCAAGGCTTTCTCAAGTTCTTCTTTGAGGCCTTGGAACTTCTCCTGGTTTCTCGTGTTCCTTTTTCCTGATGTTGCTATTACTTGGCATTGCCATATCAACCGCAATGGCTGTCTTCTGTTGTTTGTCCACCAACACAATATCCAGTTGGTTCGCCATCACTATTTAGTCAGTCTGGATCTGGAAGTCCCACAGAAGCTTGGCTCTCTTGCTCTCAACCACGTTAGGGGGTGTTACTCACTTTGACCTTGGGGTTTCGAGTCCATACTCTGCACAGATGTTCCTGTACACGATGTCAGCCACTTGGTCGTGGCGTTCCATGTACAGTACAGGCCAAAAGTTTGGACACACCTTCTCATTCAATGTGGTCTTTTTTTTTTCATGACCATTTAGATTGGCAGATTCTCACTGAAGGAACCAAAACTAGGAATGAACACATGTGGAGATTTGTACGTAACCAAAAAGGTGAAATAACTGAAAACATGTTTTATGTTTGATTTTCTTCAGGAAAGCCACCCTTTGGTCTGATTACGACTTTGCACACTCTTGGCATTCTCTCGATGAGCTTCAAGAGGTAGTACACTGAACTGGTTTTCCAACAGTCTTGAAGGACTACCCCTTGAAGCTCATCAGCATGTCATCTGTTGGGGCCTTGTCCTTGATGTACTTCTGGATCTTGGATGTTTCATGCTGGACACTCACCAGCTCTCGGCCTCCTTTCTTACTGATGATTTTTATTTTTTAATGGGGCGCTTTTGTCTTTCATTTTTGTTTGTGAATTGCCTCATGATTTTTTTTATCTTGAGCAGTACAGTATAAAAGATCTTTTTTTTCTTCATTTTGCGTTAGTTTTTCAGATGCACTAACTATTTATCACCACTAAGGGACACAAAATTACCATTGTTATGCATCACATGCATTGAACCCGACGGACCAGTGTTAATGTTTATGTATTTAGCAGACGCTTTTGTCCAAAGTGATAATCGGCATGTTGCTCTTGAGGCTAACAACAATAACAACAACTTGACATCATTCAAGGAGAGGAGGGAACAAGAAGTGGACAGTAGAGGGGGGGGGGGGGGGGGGGGGGACGGTTGTAGGGAGGGTGCTAGTTTAGAAGATGCTCTCTGAAGAGCAGGGTCTTCAGGAGTTTCTTGATAATTGAAAAGGAAGCTCCTGTTCTGATGGTGCTTGGAAGGTCATTCCACATTTGTGGAACGATGCATGAGAAGAGAGAGCGCTTAATACTCACCAGTAGATGCAAACAATACACATACCTAATGGGAAGAGGCTCATCTAAACAATAGAATCCATATTTTCTAACTCAACAACATCCAATCATAATAAGCGGCTAAGCTTATAAGAGGTGACTGTAGAACCTCATCTGTGTTTGAACTGTTTTGACCCAGTTGAGCTTTCAGAGTTAAAAAAAATATTAGCTTCATCTAAACCTTCCACTTGCATTTTGGATCCAATCCCAACCAAATTATTTAAAGAAGCATTTCCTTTGGTTACTGCCCCCATTCTAGATATAATCAATCTATCCTTAGTAAATGGGTATGTACCACAAGATTTTAAGGTTGCTGTAATCAAACCTTCACTTAAGAAGCCTTCTCTGGATCCAGATGACCCAATGAATTATAGACCAATGTCTAACCTTCCATTTTTATCCAAAGTCCTGGAGAAAATAGTGGCCATCCAAGTATGTGAGCATTTAAACACTAATGCTCTGTTTGAGGAATTTCAGTCTGGTTTTAGAGAGTATCACAGCACTGAAACTGCATTAGTGAGAGTTACAAATGATATTCTCATGGCCTCAGATAAGAATCTTGTGTCTGTTCTAGTCTTGTTAGATCTCAGTGCTGCCTTTGACACAGTTGATCACAATGTTCTTTTAGAAAGACTTGAACATGTTGTAGGAATCAAAGAAACAGCGCTAGGCTGGTTTAAATCCTACCTGTCTGACAGATTTCATTTTGTAAATGTACATGACAAATCTTCTCCATACTCCAGGGTTACTTGCGGAGTACCACAGGGTTCAGTGCTTGGACCAATTCTTTTTACTATGTATATGCTCCCAATTGGTAAAATCATTAGATAGCGTGGGATAAACTTCCACTGTTATGCTGACGATACTCAGTTATATTTATCCATTAACCCTGATGAACCTAATCGGTTGGGTAGATTACAGGCTTGTCTTGAGGACATAAAAAATTGAATGACTCAAAACTTTTTGCTTTTAAATCAAGACAAGACGGAAGTTCTCATCTTTGGACCAGAAATCCTGAAAAGGAAATTGCTTAGCCAATCACCTGACCTGAATGGTATTACATTAATCTCCGAGAACAAAGTAAGGAACCTTGGTGTCTTTGACCAGGACATGTCATTCAAATCCCAGGTTAAACAGGTTTGTAGGATTTCTTTCTTCCGACTTAGGAATATTGCTAAGATTAGAAGTGCCTCTCAGAATAAGGACTTCAAAGCACTGTACACTACAGTGTTAACACACACTGATGATGATGAGCTACGATGTAGCCACAGCTGCCCTGGGGCGCACTGACAGAGGCGAGGCTGCTGACCACAGGCGCGGCCAGTCCCTCCCACCACCACCAGGGCACTGAGTTGGTGTGTGTGTTATACATTTATTTAACAGGTGTTCTGTTTTCAGACTGGAGGCTGTGTTGGATTTGTGGGCTGTGTCAAGGATCTGATGCTGAATAAAGACCCTGCAGGAAGCCCAACCCACAGCCAGGGCACAGTGCCATGTTTCCAGAAATCTCTGCAGCCCGGCACATACTTCTCTGGACCCGGAGGACACATGGAGCTGGGTAGCTAGCTAGCATTCCTGTCTTTCCCATGTCAGCTGATGAGTCTCCACACTTTTAGCTTGGCCTTATTGTTGAGAGTTTCTCCTCAGTGAACTCTCGTTCGTCTGACAGATGAGCTCCTGGATCTGAGCCAAAATCTAGAGATCCAGCTTGAGGTTCGGCCCATCTCAGATTCTGGACTGCTGTTGCATGCTGGAACGTCACCTAACCATCACCTGAGTTTGGCCCTCAGCCACGGAAAGGTCAGACGGGCTCAGAATAGACGACCCTTTCCATGAATACTTGATTCTGGAAAAGAACGATAGCTAATGTGTGTTTTCTGTAGGTAATCGTCTTAGTCAACAGTGACAAAGGTGAATTCTCCACCTCCTTTTATTCTGAAAAACCTCTGTGCAATGGGCTCTGGCACACTATCAAAGGTTAGTTTGTGTCGGCATGTGGTCTCCTCCAGTTTTGTTGGCCAGTTGTGATGTTGAAATCATTTTTTCCAGTGTTGAAGAAGGACAGAAGTCTGAGGCTGTATGTGGACGGAGCCAGCAGTTCCAGCGTGGGCCCCGGACAGAACCGTTCTGCAGGGCCCAAAGTGTCCGTTTACCTGGGAGATGTACCTGGTCAGCTCCACACACCTCTAACTGTAGTCGCTCACTTGAGTACTTTATAGTCCCCAAGCAGTGGTATTCAATAGGCCTCCGTCTTTGTGGCCCCCGCGCCTTTAAAAGGGGCACTGCCACACTGTAAGCCCAACTTACTATAACAGCACGCACACACCTGGACCAGACCACTCAGTTGGACCTTTCAATCTGTCACAATAGGATCACTACAGAACAGTAATATCACCATTTCACACCCTGTTTCTGTCTGTCCACCAGGTGGGACCAGAATTCCCAGACTTCCTGAGGGCCTGCCAGGTTTTAAAGGCTGCATCCGCAGCGTTCTGCTGAAGCGGAGAGCTGCTGTGCTGTCCAAACCTCGCTCTGTGCATGGAGCGGTGGGCATGGGAGGCTGCCCACACCCATAGAGCCTCATCCTCACATTACACAGTACTGGTGGTGGGTGGGTGTCATGCTACTGTAGCTTATTTAAAACCGTGATATTTATTTTCACATATATCACAATATTCCAGCTTCCACAGGGTGCTGTATTAGGAACAGCTGTGTGACTGAATCAAGACTAAAGTCAACAATTTGTTTAGAAAAAGCTAAAATCAAACGCACCCTCTGGGCTGGTAACTCATGACCTCTGAGGCGGAGACCAGTCTGACGGGGACAGCATCCAGAAACAGCTGCTGGACTCATGTGACCCCGGGTTTCCACGGGAGCCGTCAGCAGCACGTTACTGCAGCAGCACGTCTTGCTTGCATGAGCTGCTACTTGGCCCTTCCCACGAGACGTGAAGCAGCAGGGGAGCAGCTGTCACCGACCGAGCACGAAGTTACACGAGTGACTTCGTCAGTAAACACAACAACAAGCAGGAGAAAACTACAACATGGTTTGTGTTTTATGTTCTGTCCGTTTTATAATCGCCAATATGGACCTGAAAAACAAAGGAGACTGCTAGCTAGGTGATAACTTCTCACTGGGCCGCACAGTTAGTAAAGTTTTTAAAAAGTAAAGCAACCGGAAGGCAGTACGTTCTTTATTCTGAAAATCTCGAGAGCTTCTCTCCATTTCCACGTCCGATTTCCTGACTTTCCTTCCCCAAAAATGTCGAACTTGACCCGTTTCAGAGGCGTTGCGCGTAGAAAATAGAACTGGCGCGTAAAGGCTGCGACATGCTTCTCCTGAGACGCGGCCGACGGCTCCAGTGGAAAGCCGGGGTAAGACTGAACCCGGACCAAACACACGAGGGTAGCGTGCTCGTTATTATTATAAAGACCTGAAACAGAACAGTCTCAACTCCGGCTCGTGTCTGAATAAACATTTTTATAACCCGAACTCGTGCGTCTGCTTGTGTTTCTGAGTTAGAAGAAGAAATGAAGACAGGTAATGATTTTATGTTTTTATTGTAATCAGAAGTTATCCACCCAGAGCTGCAGGTATGGGGCCTGACTCAGACTCCAGTACCACCACCTCCATGCTAACCAGAACCGTGATCATAAGCTCTGCTGGCCAAGTGGTTCCTGAGTAGGGACATTGCTTTTGGTACAGACTGTAGGACAGTACAGACGATGAAATGTATAGAAAGCTCA